ACAAGCTGAACCCAGCTGCACCTTCACAAGGTCCCCTGCCCTTACCCTTCACTTGTCACCTGCCTCTTCTGCCTCTGCTCCTTCCACGATGTCACAAACTCGTCGTCATCGACTCAAGGAAATATATGCTCCATGAACTTTAAGCTTGGGGAGAAGAAGGTGGACCTGTACCCCAAAATCGACCCCGACTACAACATGTGGTCCAGTCTGATGGACAATATTGAACTACTGGCTCCTCCGCTCCCACAGCCATCAGCAAGAGCCTTGGAACCTCAGACCCCCTCCAGGGAGATGACCATCGACAAGGTTCTCACATGATCGCCATGTTTTTAAAGAACAAGGCCGTTAGAAAGCCTCAGCCACCTGTGGCACTGTCCATCAGTGGAAATGACGATAAGAGAGAGATGATACTCTCGAAGAAGAGGAAGGCGGAAGAAGAACAGGAGCAGAAGGAAGAGAGGAAGAAACAAAGGGAGCAGAGAAAGGTGGAACAGCTAGCACAAGCTGATAACAAGAAGGAATGCCAAAAAGAAGAAAAAACAAAGGGAGTAGGCAAATCGAAGGAGAAAGAGGAGGAGAAGAAGAGGGCCGACGATAGCAGACGAAATTTGCTTCTCATCAGTTATTATGCGGTTACCTCCCCTCTCACCGGAGACTGGCAAGGTCACTTTTTATGCTTAGGGTAGCGCAGACTACCTCCTCTACTCTATAGATTCTAATAACAATCGAGGCGTGAGCTTTAATATCCAGTCACTAGATCTAAATACGATCTAGATCTTGATCTGATCTAAACTGGCCCTCCCTGTTTCATGAGTATGAATAGAACAACCGAACTGAGTTGACCTTGCCAGTTAATCATGTGGACCGATGAGACTGGGGATAGCGATCATGCTCTCTTGGCTCGCTGGGGGAAGAGGTGTTGGGAAGCGGCCGCTGCTGTCTGTTTTGTGCAATGTGATAAAAAAAAAAAAATAATTACAGAAAAACTATAACACACAACAAAATTAAATTTAACATGCCGAAAGATAAATGGTGGTGGAAGTAATGATGATGCTGTCGTGGTGGTGGAAACACCCTGAGTTGTCGACTACCGTGTACTTAGACACCTCCATTGGATAGATCTAATGAGAGTGCAGTCTTTTGACTTTTGATACAATTACACAATCCTAGTAGGTAATTCTAGTTCAAATTCTGGTTTTACGTAAAATCCCCGGACGACAATAATATTATGTAACCTCCTTACACTCCCATAACTCTCTTAGAAGCTGAGTCTCAATAAATAAACATTTTTTTCGGACCGCAGTCCGAATAGATAGAAATAATATACGGACCCGAGTCCAAATAGAGCTAGCCAAAGCTAAAGACAAAGACAGAGGGCTGTTGTTTATTCTCACCCATGGTGAAAATAAAAATATGGCTGTTGCTATGCTAGGGGCACGTACCATTCCCGAACTCTGCCCTGTTAGGGACGCGTACGCTTTCCCAGCACTGGATTGTGGGATGCATACGGTAGATTCTACGCTTCAACAACACTGCACTGATAGTTTTAGGGACTCCTGAACATGCTGCCACAGCTCTACAGAATTATTGACCCGAATTTGTGACATCGACGTCACGGTAGTTCCAAAGATTCTGTACTACCAAGATGTTTCAATTGCCCTAGATCTTTCTCGCGTCCAGGCGTGACCTTGTCTTAGCGTGTAGCGCCCCGTGATACTAGTGTAAACAAACGTCCCAGCGCTCTTCGGTTGAAGTTGAAAATGTGCAATTTTGTTTGCAGGCAGAGGGGGGGGGGGGAGAAGGGGGAGATGAGAGAGAGAGAGAGAGAGAGAGAGAGAGAGAGAGAAGGGGGGTAGAAAGAGAGAGAGAGGGGAGAGGGAGAAAAAGAAAGAGAGGGAAAGAGAAGGGGGGTAGAAAGAGGGAGAGAAGAGTTTAGTTTTAGTAAGTGTTTTACGGCATGTGCAACACAGTAAGGTCATATAAGTGCCGAAGATTAGAGATGTTACAAGAAAGAGAGTAACAAACACAAAAAAGAAGGAGGGGAGATAAAGACGATAGATGTTTGATAGGAAAGAAGGAGGGGAGATAAAGACGATAGATGTTTGATAGGAAAGAAGAAGCAACCACACCAGAGCACCCGCCAACCACCACAGAGAGAGAGGAGGGAGCAAAATAGAGGGGCAGACAGGGGGGGGGGGGAAAGAAAGGTCCTAGGCCTATGGTGCCCGAAACAAAATAAAAAGGGCCGAAATGGAAAAACCGGGTGAGAATACTAGGCTGTCGTTATTCTCACCCGGGGTGAGAACAGTATCCATGATATCCATTTTATCCTCACCCTAGGTGAGAATAATCGCTGTGAAGACAGAGACTGAAAGTCCCATTTGATCCCTGGAAAGATTACAGTCATTCGTAACTATATATTGTTCACTTTAGTTTGTCCATGACAGTGTTTTAAAAAAATTTAGCTCCTATATATATTAATTTACCTGCTTGATATAGAATCTAGATGGTGGCGAAACTTTGCTTGGCACTTCTGTAACTAGACTAGGCCGGTGACCAAACAAAAATATTTTTTCATAAAATCCTGATCGATCCAGTAGGCCTAATAAAAAACGTTTTTCTCTATGGGCCCTAGCCTACATTTAATTTATAAAACCCTTTTCTTACCCATACTGGCCTTCCCATCATGTTACCATTCCGGCTTTCCCGCTGTAGAGCCATACCGACGTTTACCGGCCTGACACACCTGCGTTTAGTGCAGTATCGTTTTGGCTTATTATTGCTTTTTCGACTGCCACTACAGTCATGACTAATTAATCATACTCTTTGTAATATATCCATGCCAGCGAGTTTGGCGGTTCATTAATATTGATAAGACGGCACATCTCAAAAGTGCACCTGCCAAAACATAGCCCACAGTAGGGAATCTAAAATTAAACGCAATAGACTGTGCTCTATTCTTTGCCACAATTTTGTGAGCCCCGGAGCAATGCAGCGAAGTGCCCAGGTGAATTGTGATTAGTTCATTGTCTTGCCGCTATTTTAAGTGATTCTTTGACCGTGAACCTGAGGGAGGTGAACGTGACATATCTAAGTCACCATCCTATGAGTTGTGCTTTTGAACGGTTTTGTAGTGGAGTGGTGAGAGGTATTTCTTGAGTGTTCAGTTCCAATGCAAGATGAATGAAATTGATGTTTAGCTAACAAACAGATCAAGTTCTAGATGTCAAAGCCACAAGTAAAAAGAATGAAAATAAAGCACGAGGTCCTCCCTCACCTACCCAAAGATCCTAAAATTATACACCATCTCATTTACTATGCCCTTGATTATCTTCAATCTGCGATAGCTTAATTGTGCATGCCCATTTTTTAGCCCCACGAGCCGCCCCTGAGCATGCATCAGAATAACATTGAGTACGTATCTAGCTTAGGATTATTATTGTTTATATTGCTGCTTATTTATATTATGCTTGTGATTGTAAGCCTACGTGTGTGTACATGTGTGTGTGTGTACACGTGGTGAAACACCAAACCAATGTTCCAGGATCTGGACAATACAGTTGAACTCTGATTCAACGAGCTCGGATTCAACGAGATTAGATGGATTCCCCGGGTTTTTTTTCTTCTTTAAAATCAATAAAAATAACGCGGATTCAACTAGCACTTAAATCAGCGAGCTTGGATTCAACGAGGTCGCTTCCAGGGTGAACAGCCCCCGCAGATGTGGCTTCGCTCATTTTTCTCCCACAACGAACTTTATCTATTCCCGGAAACCATCCACTGCACCTGCAACGTGAACCAATATATTCACTTACTCGATTGCATGCGACCAATAAGCGGCCTTTTTCATACCAACACATGCGTTGTTGGCTCGCGCACGTGTCTACTCTAGCGTGTGTTGGGGTCGAATGGGCGGCCTGCACATGTGTGACTGTGTGTGTGTGTCGGGGGGGGGGGGGGGGGCACTACTGGTCCGGACGTTGAACGTCGCTGATACAAACGTGTCACGGTCTTTTTTTCCCATCGGCAACTGATCATCATTGCAATGATAAGCAAGTCTTGACGTAGATATCTACGTAATAAATTGTGCACTGATCTATGGAATCAAAAGTTGCCGTAGGCTAGGCTCTACACAGCAACACAAGTTTTTGGTAAACAATCAAGATGACACAGACGTGTGCATTTGAACGAATCAATCTTTTTTTTTACACGGCTCATAATATGCAGGCATTTCAGGCGCTACTTGTGGCTTCTTTTTATACATTACTTGCTCAGTGCCTGTAATTATCTACACAAAACCTCGTGTTTGCTATAACGAACACTCGGATTCAACGAGATTTTAGGTCAGGCCCGGCGACCTCGTTGAATCCGAGTTCCACTGTAAAGATGTATCTTATCTTATCTTATATATATTATTATATATATATATATATACACAAAAGTATGGGAGGTAGAAATGCTGAAGCCAAGAGAAAAGCCGGCAAGTTTTGTACATCCACAAGGGAAATTGAAGTTTTTGAATGCTGAAAATGTGACGAATTCTTCTGTCAGAATTGGTCTCGTTCATTGGCTTTTGCAGAAGCCACAAGTCATCTTAATCTTTATTTCTTCTATTTCGCTTAAAAGAAATATTCTACTAAGCTGACACATTGCTCATTTTCAAACTTGAGACTCTTAACATCTGTCAACTGGCACAGAGAATTCTACTTTTTCTATTCTTTTGAATGACTAATTGTATAATGAAAGACTCTTAACATAGCCCCCCCCCCCCCTCTCTCTCTCTCTCTCTCTCTCTCTCTCTCTCTCTCTCTCTCTCTCTCTCTCTCTCTCTCTCTCTCTCTCTCTCTCTCTCTCTCTCTCTCTCTCTCTCTCTCTCTCTCTCTCTCTCTCTCAATATATATATTATGACTTGGTTCATATAAATTAAATTTTTTGTTTAATATGTGTATAATTACCTTTTCATTTACATAATTCTTGTTTTGTTTTTTTCTTCATTTAAGATTCTTTCCTTTGGAGCATTGCTACTTCGGCTGCTAGATCTTGGTGCTTATGAGACAAACTTTGAAATCAGTCAAGGTTTCAGATGGAATTGGAAGTCTCATCAATATGAGGGTAAGTTAGTTTATCGTTCGAGGTTGAATTCCTAAAGCTGAACAGTAGTGGCTAAGTAAAATTCTGTTACCATAGAGTTGATATCTCTCTTTTAGATATATGTATGGTACCAGTTTAAGAGCATATTTTGTGCCTTTAATCAACGTTTTTAGTCAAATTCACTTTGAGATTTTTAATTATATGGATACAAAAAGTGTTTAGCCAAAAAACAAAAATGCGATAAGAACTTCCGAACTGGCAGAAAAAATGCCTGTTACTTCGGTTTCATTATTTTTACGTACACCTGATTTCACCCAGATGCCTCACACACACGTGTATTAGTGTATATATATGTATATAATATATATATATATATATAATCAAATAAAGATTTCCTGAAACTTTCTGCTGTGTGAGTACAAGAGTTTTATTTGTATTTCCCATCTTTCCTCAGCTTTCTTGGCCAGTGACATCATTGTGAATGTCTGCCATTTGATAATCATTCTGTTCACCTTGTACATGATCTATGTGGTCACCATGAGTGTGAGTACTTGACTCAACATTTGGATATGCTACTTTTTTTTTTTTTCTTGTGCAGAAATGAAAACTGCTTATCAAACCACTTGTCCTGTTTTCTATTTGATATGTGTCCCATTTGTCAATTACCATACATTTAATTTTTAACAGATTGTTGTCATATTGTGAAAAAATGTTAGTTTTTTAAAATGCATTTAGTACCGGCAGAAAGAGTAGTTTCGTCTTAGAAATATTTTTTTAAGCATATGAATGTGATTGTCGCTAATCTGCTAGTCAGTTTGAACTCTGTAAAATCCCATTCTGTACTGATCTGTTAAAAGAAATGTTCGAATTTTCTACTAATTTTATTTTTTTATTTTTCGAGTGGATTCAAACTTGACAGTATAATGAATGTGCCCTCAGCAGTATAGAATTTCCTTTCCTTTCAATGTTGTCTAACTCAGGTTCATTGAGCAATTCTTTAATTCTTCTATTCCCAGCATTTTGTGTTGTACATGGAGACTATGAGAGCCTACACCTACACCTTCATCATGTACACTTTCATCGAGTTCTGCTTCTCAGTGTTCGAGTTCTCATTCTACGGGCTGAACACTTTTGTAAGTTGAATTTTTTATTGAAATTATGTTGGCTTATCTGTAGAGTGGTGTACATATCAATGTCATTTAAATTGATTCTTTCTTTAAAATGCTGTTTCTTAAAATTATGGGAATAAATATACAGTCGAACCTGTCATGCTGGAACCCTGTCCAAGATGGCAATTTGTCATGACGGAATCTCCCCTGTCCCCCCTTAATAAATTCTTCTTAATACATCTGTCTGCAACAGAAATTTTACAGCTCAGAAATGGTCAGAGAAGTTTTTTCTTTTCGAGGGGTTTTGACCTGTCTAAAGTAGAAATTGCTTTGCCCTCTGTGTTCTGAGTCGAACAAAAAAAAGGCCAGACTAAGTTTGGTAGCGCCGGCTCTTACTTTTATGTCCGACAAGGAAGATTGGAAGTCCTGCAGTTTGGAGGTAGGTGTTACCCCACCAGTCTGAGCCCTGGGTGGTCCCGATCTTCGGGTTTGTGAGCATGGGAAATCTGTCTGATACTTGTCGTTACAGAAATCAAGTGTCGTGCAGGCACAGAAACTTTCATAGGTAGCCTTGATCGTACAGCCAGCTGAGACAAGAGTCACCTGAATCATTGCTACATGCCAGGGAGGGGTAGATTTGTTGATTATTCTTTTTACTTGGATGCAGACCTGCCACTCGTCCCTATTGTAATCGGGTATCCCGATTTTTTGCCCCAAATCTCAAGCATCCCAATTTTCCCGATTTCGATCATGTTTATCCTTATTTTTTGTTCCTGTCTGTTGCGCCGGATTTTCTGAAAACTTACTCTGTCTTCTTCTCTTTCGCGGAAAGCACCCTTTGAACGTTTTGTCAATAGGGACTTGGAGCATTATATTCCAAAATATCGATGCGGGATTAAGTAGTTGACTCGCCTTAAGTTGTGTTTGATCAGAATCCTCCGATGATAGGTTGCAGTTGCGACATACAGATAATCGATAGTAATTCATAGTTCTGTTGTTTTTTTTTCAAAACAGGCCTATAGTCTGAGGTCTAGTAACCGCGCTTTCACATCAAACACTCTGACGAGCAACAGTTGTTCTAACCCTTACACAACTTTACTGAACTGAGTAGACTAACACTCGGTTCTTATTGCTTTGGTCTGAGAAAGCAAATGAAGGATAAGAACAGATTTGTTAGTACAATTGGTCGGTCGGCCGTTGTCGTTAGCCTAGAACAACTGTCGCTCGTTCGAGTGTTTGGTGTGAACATGCAGTTAGTCGGACCCGTCAGTAAAAGTGTTTCAGTTCAATCGCACATTCGCTTCGCGTGGCTTGACATTGTCTTCGCCTTCTGAGTTCTACGTGTGTTGGGGACCGTCCGTTCATGCACACTGGTTGAACTATGGAAGTATCTTTCGAGAGTTATTGGTTTGGTGGGGGGAGGGGGGAGTAGACATGTGGATTCGGAGTGCTTGACGTGATGATTCAGGGTTTTTTTAAAATTATTATAACACACACGCACACACAGAGAGCATGTATATTTATTGACACACCTGGAAAATATTTAGGTCAGTTTGGCAGTCAGCTTGGTGATTTGCGGTTGATCCCGTTTCTTTTTCCCCCTGAGATCCTGATTTTGAGATTTCATAGGGTGGTAGGTCTGTGGATGGGTTGGACGAAGGGTGGCAACAAAGGAGACATTCAACCATTTTTGTTCCTATCTAGTCAAACAGTAGTCCTCGTGAGATGCAAGCACTGGAGGCAATGGATTAGATAGACAAGTACTTTATGAGTCACGACGCAGTGGATTCAGGCGCTCGTCAGTTTTGGGGCATATGGAGTTCATGGGTCTCAATATTCCGCTATTTAGCGGATTTCCGCTACCGCCATTTCCTCCTCTAAACTCCGCTACCGCGACAGCGGGTCAATCAGAAAGCGAGTTGCTGGGAGCAGATTGACTGCCAGGCCTGGGGAATTACCCGGGAATTTGGAAAACAAAATCGCTGAGTGGCGGGAAAATAATAAAAGATCTCGAATATTATTTGAAAACCAAATCCGATAACGTCTTTAAGTTCATTTTTGCCGGTCGCGATTGTGATATTAATTCGGCTTTTCCCAGTCTGAGAGTACGTTTCACGCGAACAGTCGGCTATGGCGGCAAGCGGAATTGTATGTGACACTGAAGCTCGACCGGAAAATCAAGATCTCAGAAATTTATCTGTAAAAGTCTGAATACGCAATATTTGTAACATGCAGGTTCTGCATTACAAACGTGGTGTCGCCATGAAAATAATGTTCGTCACTGTGCTGTCGCTTGTGGGGGCAAAACAAAACAAAAAAAGAAAAGAAAGTTATACAAGCGTCTTGTCGGGCTCATCATTGCAAAGATAGTAAATAACAAGATGGGCCACTCAGCCAAAAAAGTGTCCGCAGGAAGTATGCTCTTTGCTTCAGATGGCGCTGCAGTCTGTTTTGAAGGTCTCTTTCGTTTTTCCAGAAGAAGAATAGGAATAGCACCTCCTTGCGTGCGCAGATCGACTGCTGTTCATCAGCAGTTCGGGTTCTTTCAGTGCGGCATTTTAGTTTTTTTTTATTTTAATGACCTCTCGCCTTTCATTCTAAAGTCAAATTAAACGAAGAAAACAATCACCCTTTCCTCCGGAAGAGGTTTTTTGTCAGCGTAACCATTTTAAAAAAGCGTTCTTCCGAAATTCATTCAAAAACTTGCTAGTTTCACTTTGATTTTTTAAACTCAAGTAGAGTAACTCTGTTCGCTAAAGGTGCGCTGTTGCGAAGAGGGCGCCACCGAATTTTGAGGACACTTTTTTAATTGGCTCAAAGAGAGAAGTGGTCCCTCTTGTTATGTAGACTCTTTGATCATTGTGACCGGTCAATGAACCTGCGCGCGTTCTGAGCGCTGTGAAGTACAGGACTCCAGAATGGGGGGGGTTTTAAAGATACACTCTGGGGAAGGGGGGGGGTGGCTGGACGCAACACCAGAGGACAAAAAAGAAAAGAAATTGGAAGCAAATTTTAATATTTAGAATTTTGATTACTACTACAGCTCTCTGCAAAGTAAAGTGCGCATTAGTGCATGCCTTGTGTATAATCGGGAACCGCCATAACTACTTGTAAACGTGTAAATGAACTTAGGGCAGGGGCCTAAGTGTTCACGTTTCATTGGATGGGTGACAGTAAATTATGTCTCTATATTTAGCTTTTTGTTCAAGATTTGCAGATTTTCAGTGTCACTGCATCTTGTCCTCCCACAGTTCTTACACCTCTCACACTGAATAGGTTTACTTGAGCTATTCAAGTTATTACTCTACTTTGAGTTTGAGCATTAATTTTGTCTTTCATGTTTATTAAATGAATCATTACACCCAGACTGGTTCATGACAGTCGATATTCTGGTTCTAGGCCTTTTCCCAGGCTCAAACCGAGATTCATTTTTATATAGTTTATATAAATGCAGGGGAATATGATGAAGGTAAAATATAAATAAGTTGCACAAGACCACAGTGCGCCTCCACTTTCTGTACGTAATCAAGATTATAAATATTTGGTAAGTGACTCTTATTTGAAATTATCTTCCAAACCCTCAAACTGGTATGAAATAACCTTGCTTTGATAAATTGATGGTTTTTATTTCAACATTCCAGGGTCCCACAGTATAATAATAATAGTGGGTGTCTCACGAAAATAGGCTTCTGTCACGATCACGCGGAAAGTTCCTCCTTTTAAAAAATTCTGAGTTGAGACCCATGGGAGTTATTGATATCGTATTAAAGCCTGTCCATTTGCCTTGCATTTGATGAAAAAAAATATCCATTTATCTCAGATTCAAGTCAAGATATTGGTGATTGGAGGGTGTGGGGGTTGCCTGGTTTCAGAGGTAAAATTAGTGAGAAAATGGCCACCACAAGTTGAGTTATTTCCTTAGTTTGAGTGTCAGGGGAAACTGAAAATTGACATTTAATCAACGCTTTTCAGTAAATTCCACACTGAAATGTGTTCTTTAATGGGCAGAAAAGGTGTTTAGCCCAAAAACAAAGTTTCAATAAAAAATATTCCCAAACCTGCTAAAAAATTCCAGTTTCTTGACTTTCATTATTTTGACGTGCGTCTGATTTCACCTCGCTGCCTCACATATACCTTTCTCTCTTTAGCCTTGAAATCCAAAGTTGATTTTACTGTTTGCTGTCATAAAAATGATGGTCTGAGGTCATTCCTAGTCCTAGCCTTCTGGATAATTATATTTTTGTCCGTCTTATGATACAAGTTCTTCCGAAGCAATCCGAAAATAATTGATCTGTCTTGATAGTTGTTTGATAAAACAAGGAATAACTTCAAAGGACAATTGTAGTGGGCTGAAAATATAACTTTGTTTGAAAGTACTTGCACAAACACCTGATCAACAGCAACTAAAATACCCTCAGAGATTGTCTTCTTATTCTTTAACTCTTTCACTACCAGGGGGGAGGGGGGGTTCCCTCACCTGGACCGGGCCCTATCTGTGACCTACTTTCTGATTCAGCCTTCCTTTGGACAAATTAAAGATTTTTTAGTTCAGTTTTCAATATTAACAACATGTCTTGAAAATATGAAAATAAAGTGGAAACAATTACCTCTATCAACATGTCGCTAAAACTGATCATTTTTCTGTCTGAGATTTCAGATTAGATTATTACAAAAGTAGGTGTGGGTTTGAAGCAGGAAGTGGCGAGCCATGAAACACTGCTCGCGGTCCAGCATTGGGGGTTAACACCAGCCGTGAAGCACTGCTCGCAGTAGAGAAATGGTTAATGTGTTTTACTTTGGTTACAGTTTGGCACTGATCGGTAGATTGCTTATTTCATATTGTGTATAGAATTTGGGACTCTTTTCTGTGGTTCATTTGAAGATAGTTTCAGGAGTAATATCATGTGTTAAATAATTTTTTTATTTCTACTGATTCATGGTTATCCACTGCCACTTTTATCAATGGGTCTTCTTTGATTATTTTTTTTTATCCATAACACATTTGGATATCATGCCAGAATTAATTATTTGTCATTTGTGTTCCTAAATTTAGCCACAAATTGGGCTTACACATATATTCATTGGTGTGCCCTGAATTTCCTGTTGTTCTAACTTTTTCTTATTTCTTTTTTTTTTTTACTTCAGAGACTGGCATTTGTGGTGTTCATTTGGCTCTACTGGTTGGCTCGCACAATAGCCCATGTGAGTATATTAAGTTTGTCTTCTCTTTTCAATCTGATAGGTATGTGACTTCAAGAGTTTTTGGGGTTGGGTTGTTTTTTTCCCTTGCTCTTTGAAGCTTGTTACTTGATAAACTGTTAAGGGGCCTCGATACTTACGGGACAACATTTTTAACTAAAGACAAACTGATACAACTTTGGTCACAGGCAGTAAGTATGAGACAAAAGATTCATGTTCAACTGTTGACACACTCGATTACGTAAGCTGTTGGCGTGGAAATGGCGACCATCTTAAAAATTGAAGAGACAATTTTTTGGTCTCCACCATTTCTACAGTTTTTAACTTTTTATAATTCTGTGACTTGCAAAATGTCACAAATAAATAGGTGCTTGCAGCTGACTATTTTGATTTTTTATACTATACTTACAAAGTATCCAAAATTGTTCTCAAATTTAGGGATATTGAATTTGGTCTTTAACTCACTTGCGACTGGGCCCTTTCACCAGTCACAAGCGTTGAAGACTGGCGTTTTGGGGGGGTATTTCAATAAATCACCACAACTCTCAGAATTACCCTATTGTAATCATTTTTTGACACAGTAAAGTAACATTCAAGCTTAATCTAATACAAAAAACTAAAGTTGTCTAAGTCTAATACTTTAATTTGTATGATTTTTTTTTAAATTGGCATGAATTTGATTTTCGAAAAATTTCCAGAGACGTGACAAGTAGAATGAAATTCACTGCAACAACAAAAATACAAGTTCAAAGTGTTCTGGTTTGATTTGTATACATGTGCAAGTGTTTGGTGGAAATATAAAAGCTGGTCTGTGAATTGATTCAGACCCATACACTGAATTACATGAGACAGATGTACGGCACGACGTTGTGATTTCGTTGCGCGAAAAACAACACCGGTACTAGTGCTAGATCTAGCCCTAGAACTACGACTCGGGCCGTGTTCGGGTACATATCCAGGATCCTAACTATTAGACACATCATATTCTGAGACACTAGAACTAGTAAAACGCACAGAAGTATAGAAAACGGCGAAATTATGTGATTCTTGTTCATGCGACTTCTTCGACCGTCACTACGACGCGACTGTCGGATTACTATGAGCTGTATAGAAAAAAACAAAGCGCGAGTTCCGGTCTGTTCAATCCCAGTTGGGGTCACTGTCCTTCACCTTCAATAACTTAAAAACTACCGGCCCCAGAGATACGAAACGAAGTCTAAGTAGCTCAGGCTTGGCCAAACAAGGGTATGAGGCGGGTCTCGCGATCCGTGCGTGATTTGTAGAGCGAAAAAAAAAATCCAAAGTTGGTCACGCAGGGCTTGTGAGACCCGTCGCGAGCGTCATGGCGGGGGTCACGCAACTGTTGTGTGACCCGTCTGAAGTGAGTTAAAAATATTTTTAGCATGAAAAAAAAATTGTTAAAAAAATTCTAAGGCAAAACATACGAAACTAACCAGCCCACTACAAGTACAAACTATTTCTCTTACTACATGCCAAATTTCAAGTCTATGTGTTTGAAAATGTTAAAATGGTGGAGGAAAAAAAATGGCATATGCCAGCAAAAAGTGGTGAAAAAGTGTGTTTTGTGAAAAACAAGGTTAAACATCAAAATTCTTAGTAAACAACATAGAACCAAGTAAAATTAAATTCTGTTAATGTTACTCACTCAGTGACTAGTGTCAATAAAATCTAGACTGAATGGGGGATCGGAAAATACCAAAAGTAAAAAGTGCCCAGAGTGAGTGAAAATCGGTCCTCGAGGCCCTTATAGATTTTGGTGGGGGGGGGGTTGGAATGATGGTTTTTACCCACAAAAATCACAGTTGACCCTTCTAAATAAAGCGTTATGCAATTATATTGAACCTGTAGAGAAGTACAAATCACCCTGCCTACTTGATCACTCTTTTTTCTGTGCTGTCCAGCAACAGTTTTCTCAAATGGATCTCTGGCTAAGGTTATGAACTGTGTATTATGGAATGCAATCCTCTTTCCAAGTAATAGTAATTCAGTCAGTACCGGGGGGGGGGGGGGATATTGTTGTTTTATAGCAAATCCAGTAAATTTGTCTCTTTACTGAGTAAATGACTGGCTTTACCACCCATAATAGTGAACATTTTTAGTAACTTTGTACATTTTACGACGGAGATTCTGTCACCTCTATGAAATGTGATCAATTTTAGCTAACATTTTTTGTGGGGAAAAAATGTTGCTGGAGGCTGTAAATATAGTTGGGCACAGATAACACGAACACTCAAAACCTAAAATCACAGACAATTCATACAATTTGCCTTTACCAGACTGAATAGAAATATTTTTTTTGTGTTGGGAACACTGTTTTCTCAAATGCCAATACTTATTTGTCGAACAGCTCGTCTTGAAAAACTCAATCAAATTTTTCCTCACAATTGTCTCAAATTCAGTTGTTAGCTCAATAGAAAACAACACACCCATCGTCTTTGAGAGTCGAGAGTATCAGATTACATAAGCTCACCAGGCTCACTCCAGCACAGCCTCATATACACGCTGCATCATAGTACTTTACCAGTAGTGTACAAAGGGCATTCGAATTTCTTTGAATCTGGTCATGTGAGGGTGAGTGCTGGGGTATTATCGAAAACAGACAATGCGGCTCTGCATTGGGCCTCATTGTGTGTGCCGACCTGCCTCTCATCCTGATTTAATCGGGGTATATCCTGATTTGTGCCACAAATCTCAAGCATTGCGATTTCGGTCGGATATGTTCCGATTTTTTTTGTTCTTTCAGTTGCACCGCGTTTTTCGAAAAACTTACTCCGCCTTCATATATTTATATATGAATACCCCTGAAAAATCTTTTAAGCCAGCTTGACAGTATCCCTGGCTGATTAGTCATTTCTCCCGATCCTGATTTTTTTTTCCTCTTGAGATTCTGATTTTTAGATTTCATAGAGTGGCAGATCTGTGTGTGAATTATGTTTGTGTTTGTGTAAATGTGTGTGGTTGTTTGAAGGTGAAGTATAGATTGGGAAGTGATTATATGTGGTATATCCTTTTTTTTTTCAGATTGGCTTCACAGTCATTTTGTTCTCAAGGATTGAGGAAATGGAAAATGAGATGGCATACGAGCTACGGTTTTCAGACAAGAAATATGTGCACTCCTACTCTGTGCTTGGATAGTCTTTACTTTAACTTACGACTATATGACAAACATGCTCTTTCCAAGATCATACCAAGTTGTTTAGAGTCTCTAATTGAGATCTGTTTTAACATCTAAATGACCACCAATGAGAACATTTGTCTCCTGGCAGCTGTATCTTCAGGAACAGTGACGAGGAAACTCACTTTGAGGAAAAGTATACTTGTTGTTGGACTTTCTGCATTTTCTCCAAAAGTTTTAATAGAAGTTCATGCATTGTTTTATCATTTGCTAGTTACATGTACTCTAGAACTTAAACTGTCCCAAGAGCTGAAATGAGCCCGCTTTTTTTTTTAGAAAGCATAGTTGTCAGCCATGGTCCTGACCCATTTTGCCGACAACAACTGGATAGTTGGTCACCTAGGTTTTAAGCAAAGACAAAAAAAATGTGATTATTACGGAACAAAACTGATTGAAAATGTGTATATTAGTTTTTAAAAACTTACAAGTTTGGCTTTGTCATTTTCTTGTGTATGTATACTAGTTTAGGTGCATCTAAGTTAATGTTTAGAAATGCATGTAGGCTACTTTTTGGTGTAATTGATTTTTCAGTGGTTCAGGGGAGGTGGCAAAGATTTGATCTTGAAATGTCCTGAAGGAGAATGTTCTGTTTGTGCTTTAACCATGAAATAGATTGGATTGCGTGGCTGAAACATTATTTCAAACAGTGAAATTATTTGTAGGTGTATATAGTAAGAGATTTATATAACATAAATGTAATGTTAGGGGGCTCTCGTGGCCTAGAGGTTAAGGTGTTGGCCTCTCATTCAAAGGTCCCGGGTTAGAACCCGGGTAGCGACCAAATAATTTTCTTCTCCTTTCACCTCCTTTCCTGCTCTCTAGCAATGTTCTCTCGTCTGCTTTCGTCTCCTCTTTCTGCCCCCACCCCCTCACCTCCTTTGCCCCCTCCACTGGGCTCCTGACTCTTTCTGCAGCCTTTCTACTGCTACTCCTTGGTGGTCTAAATTCGATAAGAGTAGGCTTCGGCCACCACCCAGGGAAAATTCAAAATTTCCTACCAGCTGAAAATGTTAAGTGTGTCCTGCGCACTCATATGACCTTTTGCAGTTGTAAGCGCTGTAAAACACTTACCAGAGGAAAGCAAACAAATGTACCGGTAATTTTAAATTATAAAGTAAGCAAAGAATGAATACAGCTAGACTTAGTCAGGATCCGTATTATTTGTATTAACAGAGGAAATGTAATTTTAAGTATACAGGTATCAGCAGTAGGTGTTGATCATTCATATCAGCTTTGTAGATAATCATGCGATCATTCACCAATGTTCATTATTCTTTGTTTGTACATAGCGCTCTTCTTTTCATCGCCCCAGTACACACATACTATATTCTCTTCTGACTGAAACATTGAGTTGAGATGCCTCTGTATTAGGAATTTCTATGTTTTGGTTCTTCCATCATTCAGTTTTAACTAAAAGTAAAAGTGAGGTCAGAGAGAATTGGAAATTTTTAGTTTTAGAGTAGCAAAAATAGTTATGATGCAGCATTTCTTTGATCAGGCTTTGAAAAGTACAAAACATTCCACTCGCTACAATTACAATATTTTTTACTTGTATACACATGGTTGACATTTTAAATAAAGCATTCCTCGTTTTTTTATATGAATTTAACCAATGTAGCTTCTTTACAGAATAAATAATGTTTACGCCTTGTTCTGTTTGTTCGTGTATCAGTTTATACATTTTTAGGTAGAATTTTTTGTTTGTTTTGGGAACAAAAAGGGGTCATCGTATGTACCAGGAAAAGCATTTGTGAGTAGTTCTAAGAAAACCTGTTTGAAGATGCAGCATGTTGATTTTAGAATCGTTAAATATAAGCCAAGAACTTCTTTCACCCTTGAGTGGAGTTTTTTCAATCAGTGCAGGGTGTTTTTACGCCCCCACAGACACAATCTTGATCGTTTCGAAGGCGGGTTTCCGACCTTGCCTGTTAGGTCCAAGTGAGGCTGAGAGGAATACAAGATCCCTGCAGAAAGATCGAGATGCTTGATAAAAATTCTCCTCTCTCAGGAATTGACTTTGGGTTTTAATAGTTTTATGCATGTCTCAGCGAAACACCTTAACCGCTACATCTCAGATGACAGTTTGAGTGGAGTGAAGTATACATACGTATATATATGATTTTAATATATATAACATATACTTTATTGGACACAGTTTTGCCAGGAGTCAAATTCACCACAAAACCTATATTGTTTTCTAGTAGCAGCCTCATGTAAATGCCAGCAATATACGAGTCTTTCTTATTGAAACTGTCCCTACTGCACGACTTGCTGTGTCACGGAATGAGGGATTCCTAAGCCTTTTTATTCCTCATCATTGCTTTCAACTACATGTATTAATTTTGGGGGTTTTCTTTTTACTGGAAAATGTTTCATGCCCCATAGACCCAGTTTATATGATAAAATATTTATATTAAAAGGTAGGCTGCTTTGGCTTTGCCTGGTCAGCCAACCAGGGCGTAGTGGGACGTACAGCATCGAAGCAAATGGAGATATTTGATAAAAACTTTATTACTCTGAAATCAAATGAGCCTATATCAGGTTGTGCATCTCACGATCGGCTGCCCCACCCCTCTTTGCAAAGGACTGCACGCTTGGTGGGAGAGGCGGAGTAGAGTTGCATTGTTTTGTCATCGCGTTGTTGATCACTGTTGCGGTATATATACATTAATGCTTATCTTGCCAATTGTTAAATATTTTGAACATTTTGAAAAGGCACCGATCGACTGGTGCAGACTAAAAACCGCTCACAATGACCCGCGCAATCAAACTGTCTTGGTACCGGTAGGCTTATTAGCGATCGAACTCGAAAGCGTTGCTCATCGTGTTTCTCATTCTCAATCTGTCAATTTCTAATTCAAGTCAATGGGCATAGATCGTAGATCTAACCTATCTGATCTAGGACAATGGTCGAAAAGAAAGAAAAATCTGTTGCTTCCCTTGATTCTCTGACACAGCCGATGCCATAACACTCTTCATGTACCCCTCGTACGGATCCCTCGAACTACCGAGGCCGGTCCCGACAAGTTCGAGCTATACGTGTTATACTGTAAAACTGTGTAGGCCTGCTATATTTATTATATAGTCCACCACATGCTGATAGTGATACAATATCTTGTTTTAATTTTAACACCTAACAAAGCTCTTTGGCGAATGAGTGAAAATTGTTTTTAAACATGGGCTTTAAATTATTTCCAAGATGGCATATTATGTGTTTTGGGCTGCCCTTGTAGGTCTGGTATAAGTAAACATACGGAAGGCAGAGTTTGTTCTGTGTCTGTGAAACGAGTCTCTGGCTTATATATATATATATATATATATATATATATATGTCTGTCTGTCTCTGTCTCTCTCCTCTGTCTCTCTCTCTCTCTCTCTCTCTCTCTCTCTCTCTCTCTCTCTCTCTCTCTCTCTCTCTCTCTCTCTCTCTCTCTCTCTCTCTCTCTCTCGCTCGCTCGCTCGCTCGCTCTCCGTCTGTTTGAGTTTATATTTCGCTCTCTTTTACCCTTTGACTCACACGCAAGCCATCGTTGTCACTTTTGTTTTCTTGGTGGCGAGCAAACCTAGTAATCATACACAGACTCAACCCCCATCGCACAATCCCCACGCCCTGTGGTCTTGAAGGTGAAGCCGCAACAGACTGGAAAGCACATTGTTATAGTATCTCACAATGAGCATGGAAAGAAAGGATTAAATTACACACGTCTTCTGTCTGTACACGATGTGCCGATGAGTGTGAGGCAGTTCATGGAAATGGAAGATCACTGGATGCTCCTACTTCGATCAATCCTTACGTTCCCTCTGTTGTTCCCTCTTGAACATACTAAAGAGCAGACCAGGTCACAATCTTTCGACTCAATTGTGGCCTCAACAGACTCAAACACCACATGCACCCTAAATTAAAAGTGGGAGAGTCCACGATCTGTGAATGTGGACACGACCAAGAGGATGCCAACCATATCTTTCAGCACTGCACGCGCTACGCCACCCTGCGTACACACAGATGACGTGGCAGAATGTGACTCCTCTTGAGAGAAAGCTCTGTGGCAGTCTCTCAGATTTGAAACGGTGGATGGTTGGCGGGTGCTCTGGTGTGGTTTGTTTCTTCTTTCCTATGAAGCATCTATCATCCCTATCTCTCCTTCTTCTTTTTCGTGTTTGTTACTCTCTTGCAACACCTCTAATCTTCTGGCGCTCTATGCTGTTGCGAGCACCGTAAAAACCTCTACTAAAACTAAGATTTGAAGCAGACTGCACAGTTTGTGCACAACATCGGACTGACTGTCTATAGCTGCTGTTATCGAAAACAAGGAAGAAGAAGAAGAAGAAGTCCCCTCTTGCTCTTTTCCTGCGCTAGATATCGGTATATGATTATATAGGTATTAGTATTAAATTTTGTAACAGTATAATGTCGACGTGCTTCTCTTAAACTTTTTAAAATTAACCGAAGCAAATGGCTCAGACGATTGTAGTATGTCCAAACCATTGATAAATAAATAAAGATTTGAATTTAATTTTTACTATTCCAAACTTGATTACCATCCCCGACCACAAAACACAACTCCCACCACTCTCTCCTTAAAACCTAAGGTCGCTCTAAATTGTTGTTATAAAAGACGCGTGTGTGCGTGCACACACGGACACACACACACACACACACACACACACGCACACACACACACACACACACATTCATAGTGGGTGGTTGGTCGAGTGCTCTGGTGTGGTTTGCTTCTTATTCCTACTGTATTAAACATCTATCGTCTTTATCTCCCCTCCTTCTTTTTGTGTTTGTTACTCTCATGTAACACCTCTAATCTTCAGCACTATATGACTTAATTGTGCTGCAAGTGCCGTAAAACACTTACTAAAACACACACACACACACACACACACATACACACACACACACACACACACACACGTACACACAAACGCACTATTCAATAAATAGTCTATAGGCCTGTTGTAATTGTAACCTTTATCAACTTTATGTCGAGGACCGACGGCTATCATTTGCAACAACCTCTGTAGCTGCAATATAATGTAGAAAACTCGACTTCAATAAACTTTTAAAGTTGCTGTCGTGAGTGTGTGCGTGTGTGTGTATCACAGAATTCTACACTTAAGTGTAGAATTCTGTGGTGTGTATAAACAAAGATAGTACAAGTCTTGTACTATCTTTGGTATAAACCGAAGCTCGGAGTGTTGTGTACAATAAATTTAAGTATGTAAATGGAAATGTTCCTGGCCTGGCACTGCTTCCTCAACTTGCCAAGAGGGTTATTAAAAAAATATAAATCTATGTCAAGACAGACTACGCATCACGAAACAATACCAAAAGTGAAAGTGGTGTCGGTGACTGGGAAGGTGACAAGTGACCGGTCACATAGTCAGTGTTGTTGTTGTTGGCGGTTGTCAGAGCCTCTGTTGACATTGTCTTCAACTTCTGGCCTAATTGAAGTGAGTGATCAAGCACCGAATTGAGGATTGATAGAGTCTAGAATATAGACCACTAGATCTAGAGAAAATTTAGAATCTATAAATCTAGGCAATTATTATTTGTATCGAGAGCAAGATTTTTGTGAGATCTGAGTTCTAACTGGTTGTTGTTTGTTCATATCATCTGGAAAATCTAGATCTAGATCTAGATCTAGATCTAGAAATCTAGATCTAGATCTAGATCTAGATTATCTAGATCTAGATTATCTAGATCTAGATCTAGATATATCTAGATCTAGATTAGATCTAGATTCTAGACTGTAGATAGGCTAATCATGTCATTGTCATTGAGTCTGAGTAAGCTTAGTAATGAAGTATGATTATAAAATTGATTATTGTCGCTTATTATTACATCTACTTGTGTACCAAATTGGCAAAGTAGTTTTGCAATGGTAGGACAGCGTAGCCAAGGTATAGACACTTGGTTGTTCTGTTCCTACTACAGTGGAATCCTGTTATAACGAGAGGGAGGGGACCGAAGCAAAATGTCCGTTATAGCAGGATTCTCGCTATACGGGATCCAGTAATAAATTCAAGGGAAACTGTAAATTAGGCCTAATCTATGAGTTTGGTGTTCTGTTTTTCCTTTTGCTATCTCCCCTGATGATGATTTTGTTTCAACATGACCTCTAGGTCTTACTTGATCAAAAATCGAATCAGGTTTGGTTCTCTAGCGCTAGATCTAGCGATGTGGACTGACAGCTCAGCGTTGGCGATCAGAAAGAAAGGGCTCTGGGCTAACTCGCCCGCTGTGCCCCCCCTCCACCACCGTGTGACGTGTGGTGCATTCTGTCTGCTTGTGCACGTCACACATTCGCTCCATCCATCACATTGCTGTGACCTCTCCATCACCGCATCGGAGAAGTGAGAGGCATGGCAGGTCTTGATAATCTAAACTGGCCTATCACGCGATGCGTTCTGCTTGTCTGCGCATGCCACACCCTCTCTACTCAGTTGCTCCGGTCTTCATTGTTGACGCACATGGGCTCTCCTATTCTTTGTTTTGCAAGATCAGCAACAAGTTTCTCAACTGGCGAGGTCTAGCATTATATAATTGGCCTATGCCATGTGTGCACAGCAGCAGCAATATTTCGCTATAACCAAAGATAGTAAATAACAAGATGGGCCACTCAGCCAAAAAAGTGTCCGCAGGAAGTATGCTCTTTGCTTCAGATGGCGCTGCAGTCTGTTTTGAAGCTCTCTTTCGTTTTTCCAGAAGAAGAATAGGAATAGCACCTCCTTGCGTGCGCAGATCGACTGCTGTTCATCAGTAATTCGGGTTCGTTCAGTGCGGAGTTTTAGATTATTTATATTTTAATGACCTCTCGCCTTTCGTTCTAAAGTCAAATTAAACGAAGAAAACAATCACCCTTTCCCCCGGAAGAGGTTTTTTGTTAGCGTAACCATTTTAAAAAAGCGTTCTTCTGAAATTCATTCAAAAACTTGTTAGTTTCACTTTGATTTTTTAAAACTCAAGTAGGATAACTCTGTTCGCAAAAGGTGCGCTTTTGCGAAGAGGGCGCCACCGAATTTTGAGGACACTTTTTTAATTGGCTCAAAGAGAGAAGTGGCCCCTCTTGTTATGTAGACTCATTGCTATAACCGACTCGCAAGTGTTTCTGATAGCGCTATAGCAGTATTTTGTTTACAAAGGTAAAGAGGAGAAAAAAACAGGGATTTAGAATAGTGCCTTTATAACAGACTTTTCGTTTTTTCTGGACTCAGGAGGGCCAGTTTAGATAGTCATCTATATCTAGATCTCGTGACTGGATATTAAAGCTCACGTCTCGATTGTTATCATATTATAATAATCTCACAATTTTTTCATAAATGCTGGATTTAGGAACAAGGGTCAGAAGTCGGATTAATGGACTTCATGCTGGACTCGATTCAGAGTCCAAATAGATCTATACGCAAATTTTTGTTTAATCAGACTCGAGTCTGAATAGTCACTTCGGGGTTTTTTTGCTAATCGAAAGCCTGATCAGTAAACCCTACTTTTGTTTTAAAAAATCAGAAGGAAACTGACGAGTTTTTGAATAAAAGGCTGAAAATTAGATTTCAAATTTTAGAAGAATGCTAGATCTATTTTAAAATGGTTACGCTGACTAAAAGCCACTTTTTCTCGAAACTGTTGTGATAAAAAAGGTGTTTTGTCAGCCTATGGCATATTTGCCTAGAGGTGTTGCACAGAATATTTACTTTTTAATTATTATGACAACTTCATACTATGGGCCACTACTCACTACTAATTATAGCTCAGCTCTCGAAGAATCATTCATGTTCTGCAAGGTCTATTCCGGAAGATTTAGAAATTAGAGGAGATTTAAAGGTAAATTTTTACTTTCACTCTCGCACACAGATGCACTGCTTTGGGGGTCAAATTGCAGTACAGTGGAAACCTGATTAACTGGTATGGTGGGACCAGTGCAAAAGTCCTATTATATCAGATCCCTGTTAAATCAGAAATGCAAGGGAAGTAAGCTTTTGTGGACTAATTCTGCTGTATTTTTTCATGGGTAGTTTCCCTTGCCGGAAGAACCCACGAACAGAGATACATGACACATCAAGCGTGAGTGTAGCTAGGCTTAGGGCTAGATTCTAGATCTAAGTCTGCAGCACGCCACAGCCCTCTCTTGCTTCACCTGTTGCGTGTGCTTTCAGTGGCGTGGCTTGTGTGGGCTTGCTCCATCACTACGTTACTCTCTCTTTCTCTGTCTTTCTGTTGTCTGTCTGTCTCTCTCTCTCTCTCTCTCTCTGTCTTTCTGTTGTCTGTCTGTCTGTCTGTCTGTCTCTCTCTCTCTCTCTCTCTCTCTCTCTCTCTCTCTCTCTCTCTCTCTCTCTCTCTCTCTCTCTATCTCTCTCTTACTTTTTACACATTGTTAACAAGCCTTTGTCCCTGCTATAACCGATTGAGCTCCAATGAGGCCCTGTTATTGCCGATAACTTTTAATAGAGACAAAGAGTTGGAAAAAATGTGGATTTTAAAAATCCCTGTTATGGTTTCCACTGTATTTTTTTTTCTGCATATGACACCTAGAACCATTAAAACTGTCGCAAATCAAGAATTGTCAAGAAAATTTTAAACCTAACTGCAAATCATCAAATTATTGGTTAAAAACAAGGCATACCCCCTTAACACCCCTCCACCCCCATATTGGTCCAAAACACGGAAAATGTGATATTGTTCGATTATAAACAGTCAAATATTTCAAAAACTATTAATTTGCGACGTAAATGAAGTCGATGTCCGTGTTGTTCAGCATATTAATGGACAATGCTAAGTGTGTGGGATGGATTGGAAAGTAAAAGAATACCGAAGATTTGAAAACCCAAAACTTCAATGAACAATTAACTCTACTCGGACTCTGAAATAACATTGTAAAATAGTAACCCCTAACTGAACTGTTGTTTTGACCGGGTCTGGTTTCCTAATATATACAGTGAAACTCGAATTCAATGAGCTCAGACTCAACGAAAGGAGATGGATTCCCCGTTTTTTTTTCTTCTTTAAAATCAATAAAAATAACCCGGAGTCAACGTACACTTAACTCTTTATCTCCAAGGGCGGTAAACCCTCTATGCCAGAGCCCTTTCTTGGTGCTAAATCTAAAAATGACAAAAACGTCATTAAATGGGTCATTAAATCAAAACTAGCTGACCTATTTTGATAGTTCTTCGTGTAATGAATTAACTTCTGGTATAAGAGACCTTATTTGGGCAATTGCCGGAAAGTAATTTAATGTCGAAGTCGTCGTAAAAGAATGTGCCCGAGCCGCTGTCAGCAGCTCACTGGCTCGGTGGTTCCAACTTCGAACCGCTGGGAGCAGCTTGCCGGAGACAAAGAGTTAAATCAGCAAGCTCGTATTCAACGAAGTCGCTTACAGGGTGAACAGCCCCCCCCCCCACCGCAGACGTGGCTACTACGCTCATTTTTCTCCCACAACGAACTTAATCTATCCCCAGAAACCATCCATTGCACCTGCATCGACCGTGAACCATTATTATTCGCTTAGCCGATTGCATGCGACCAATCAGCGGCCTTCTTCCGTACCAACACACACGCTGTTGGCACGCGCATGTGTCTACTGTAGCGTGTGTCAGGGTTGGGGAGGGATGGGGCACCGGAGGTGGGGGTGTGGAATGTCGCAGATACAAATGCGTCTCAGTCTTCGGCAATCATGGTTTTCCATTCCTGATTCCTTTGCTCAGATGCTGTTAAAAAAGCTAAAGTACATTACCCTGATCTTTCCCCATCACCCATCTGTTTACTACTGTTTAGGCTCTTCAAGTAGGTTGCTCTGGGTCTGCTCCTGGCTTGTTTTCCTTCAGTTTTGCCAGTTAGAGCTAGATGTTCAAGGCCTTTCATGTCTATTTAAGTGTCCCAGAAACTGTATGTGACCCATTGCAAACCTGGATATAGTATATTACCAAAACCTGCCATATTTTTGAGCGTCATGACAATCACAGCAGGCTGTTTCGCTGTTCCTACAAGACACAGCTGCAACCCCCCCTCCTCCCCATGGTGACCTTGAATGTAGTGCACTTTCTCAAGCGGTTCAAAATGGGGAGTTATATTTGACTGTTACTCGGAACTGCCTTGTGTGGAAAGGGAGTTTTAACCATTTTTGTATTACTCAGCACCAAAAATTAGTTGCATCAGTTTACTCCCCTGCTTGTGTGTCCCCTTGGTCTAGCCTGTGTGGGAAGTCACCAAACTTTCCTCTGTAATTTTACCTCTAGAAAACCAGGTGACCCCACCTCCTTCTTGATCCAAGTACTGGCAATGGAAACAAAGTCATCTGAGTCTCAGGGTTGTAATAATATTATTGCTGGAAGTTAGAGACTCAACTCTGCAATGGGATGCCCGATAGTTTTTCTATGGGGCAACACAAAATTACACTTGCTGTGATACTGTGTCATAAGAGGTGACTAAAAATGCGACGGTCTGGTCTCGCGAAAAGAGCCAATTGGCGGAGGGCCAACTACCCGACCCTGTAAAAATTAAAAGTAAGAGAAACAAGCAAAAACATCTAATTTTTCGTTCTTGGGAGATAAAAGACCTTCTGCACCAGCAGGACCAATGAAGGACAGTGGATATAGCCAAAAGGACTGCCCATCCGAAACCTCCATTGAAAAAGTCTCTTTGGATTGCATCATGAAATGTTTGCACCATGTATGAAACAGGTTCAAGAGGTAACCCAAGGATACGGAAAGATGGGAAGTGTTTATTTGTGGCCTATACCCTGATCCAGAGTGAGAAAGGCAAAACGGTTGAAAGAGACTGCAGCACAAGAGGGATAAATAGGACACAATGAGACATAATGTTTTCCAAAATCTCATGTTTCATGATATTGTCATTACATAGTTCATAGCTTAGTGTTAGCTGAGACAATATGACACTTGTACAAGAATTTATAGTTGTGAATGTTGCCTAGGAAGTAAAAAATTGTGGCGTCGGTGGCCTAGTGGTTAGGCTCTCGGACTCCCAACCGTACGGTCGTGGGTTCGAATCCCGTCAGAGGCCCGACGTTGTGTCCTTGGGAAAGGCACTTTACATGAATTTTCCTCACTTCACCCAGGTGGGAATGGGTACCCGGCTATAGACAGCGAAAGATCTTGTCAGTTTGTTAGTGTTTGAGCGCTTAATCAGCTGCTTGCACTGTATGCTTGCCGAGAAGCTGAGAATTTTTCGGAGGGTTCTATGGCCTGCTGGGGTAATAATATAGTGTAAAGTGCATAGAGCCTGCTGTTGAGCGGGGATATACGCTATACAAATGCTATTTATTTATTATTATTATTTTCCTTGCTGTTTATGCTTTACAATATAACACAACTTGCATTCAATTGCTTTGTAGATGAAAAGAGTAATTTTTGTCTCAGTCACCTCACAACAGATGTGTATCTTTTTAAATGACAGCAAAAACAAGGTTGGCGACCCAGTTTTGACAACTGTTGAACTTCTCATTATCCATGGTCTGTAGAGGGGAAGAAATTACACAACCACAACCTTCTAGCTTGTTAGACAAAAGTGTATTGCTGAATTAAATGAAGAAAGATAACACACTTACAACAGTGAGCAATGACTCACTCCCCAGCAATACCAACCTTGTGGTTGGCTGGATGTCATTGTGTGTGTATAGATATGTGTACGTGTGTATCTGTGTGTGTGTGTGTGTGTGTAAGCCTGTGTGTATGCTGTCGCTACAAGTCAACCATTTACTTTGTAATTCCTTTCCTCTGACCAATGTTCGGAATAGTATCTTTTTTTTGTGACATAATTTCCCTGTCAAGTGACCATCTTTGTTGGGATTCTAGTTTGACTGTTGAAAGCAATCTTAACAACTGATTCATTAGAGTCTACATGTAATTTCTTCTTTACAAATGATGCTGTCCCACAAATGTGAAATTCTTTTTTTTATTTTGTTCTTTTCTTCAGATATGGCATGTCAGTTTACCAAGGCCCTGGCCAGACATTCTACGATACCGGTACTGTTCATCAGGCATTCCATCAGGAGTTTTTCATCATTTACCTCAAAATCTGCTGGATGTGTCAAAATTTCGTCTTCCCTTCCTAATCATATGACCTTCAGTTTTCAGAGGTCTTTTCATCTAAGAAATGCCTGCACTTGGCTACAAGTTAAATGGACAAGGGACAATCTGTTGAATTCTTTTCATTCCACCGGGGTGAAATTTTGTGCCATTACAGGTCCCAAATCCTTTGGAGTTCCTGTCTCTAGCTTTTTCAGAGAGTCAAGTACAAAACAAAGTAGCCTGACAGACACGAGCGCCGTCTCAGAGTCAGACCGGTGTTTGCTGTTTGATGGAAACGACCTGTTGGTGAACTCTGTATCTACAGTGGCTGCTGCACAAGCTTTAGCGGCTAAACAAAATGTGAAACTGACCTATATAAATAAAAACCCAGATGGCGTGCACTGTTTTAGACTTGAAGCTAATAGCAAGCTGAAGAAAAAGTCTTCCACTGGTGAAGCCAAGAACGTTTCGTCCACTCCAATAGGGAAAAGGAAAAAACCCGAAAAACAGGCTGCGAAAGAGTTCACGTTCAAAAGCTCTATAAAAGACCACGACTTGTCTGTAAAACTGAATAAAATCCACGCGCTCTTGACAAAGGGAAAGCAAGTTGTCATCTTTTTCAAATCGGAAAGCTCCTCAAACCCTTCAAAGGTAAGGACATTGTTGCTTTAGTAATGTATAGATGTAAGTACATGATTACTCTACATTCACATTGTTGACTTGTAGATGTGAATTCTGTCACAAACTCAACTGGAAACAGGCGACCATGGGGTAGCAGTAAGTTGTTTGGCAGTTACATGCGGAAGAACATGGGATCCGGTTTGGAGTGGGGACACTTTTTTATACTGTATAACACGGATAGGTCGAACACTGAAGACTTGAAATCATGCATCCTTCGAACTGTGCCTGTGGTCCTGGGTTTTTTTGGGGGTTTTTCTTTTCTTTATCTTTGTAAGATATCCCTCGAACTACGGATCCCTCGAACTACAGAGGCCTGTCCCGACAATTTCGAGCTATCTGTGTTATACTTTATAAGTATCTCCATAGACTGTCTACTTGGAGGTTAAATTATAGCTAAAGCAGACCTACTCCATAAAGACACTCATTTTTCATATACTTTTTTTAATAGCAACCTTTTGTGGGATGATAAGAGTAAGGATTTAACTGAACATGTGAAACATTTTTGTTTTTGCAGAGCCTAAAGAGACATAGAGTCTCTCAGCTGCTCTGATTTTTAAATTCTACTCAGTGTATCAGATGAGGAAGGCAGTGTGCAAGGGTAAAACAAAACTAAATGTGTCAGACGAGGAAGACAAAGTGCCATTATAAAACTAACTAATGAGCTGCCACTACTTGACGAATGAGCGACACTTCTATCACAAGTTCATGTTGATGTCCATTATTACAGACTTGGTAAATAGAGCAACCACTCATCTCAGTTATGATTCATGTATGGTCAGAGGCTCATTCTATTATGGGAGGGGCTCATGGATTATGGCAGTTTGCATGCTCCCTTCTTAACAGCTGAACATTTTTTAACTGACTGACTGGTCAACTTGGATAAACAGTGGGAGGGCCCAATAACCTTGCCTCCGCATCATGTTGGTCAGCAATCAGTTCATAAGAGGCCGACAATATTGACCGGTAAACAGATTATGGCGGCTTGTCCACAACGTCATGCGCTGATATATAATTTACTGCAACATGTCGGGTGATGAGAGATTTGTGTGGCTGTTGGTTGATAAGAGAATAAAGTGGCTGTGACCACATTGTACAGTATCTTGATTTTCTTAATCAGTGCCATTATTTATAAGAAAAACACACCAGGTAAGTTGGGAAATGGTTATTTCTACAGGTGGTTGTCTTATACAGGTGGCCGTTTGGTTCAACTGTATACAGTGGAATCCTGTTATAATGAGAGGGAGGGGACTGGTGTCAAATGTCCGTTATAGCAAGATTCTCATTATAAGGGACCCAGTAATAAATTCAAGGCAAATAGTAAAGTAGGCCTAATCTATGAGTCTGGTTTTCGGTTTATTTCTTTTTGTAATCTCCCCTGATGATGGTTTGGTTCAACATGACCTTTAAGTCTTACTTGATCAAAAGTCGAATCAGGTTTCTTTCTCAAACGCTAGCGATATTGACAGCTCGGCATTGGCGATCAGAAAGACAGTTCTCTAGGCTATCTCGCCCGCTGTGTTGTCCCCCACCCCACCACACCCTGTGGTGCGTTCCGTCTGCTTGCGCACAAAGGAAACATACCACACCCCGCCCACGTCGAACATTCACTCCGTCCATCACAGTACAGCACTATGACCTCTCCATCCCCGCATCGGTGAAGTGAGAGGCGTGGTAGACCTAGATAATCTAGATTAGGCTGGCCTATCACATGATGCGTTCTGCTTGTCTGTGCATGCCACACTCTCCCCACTCATTCAATCAGGCCTTCATTGTTGGCACTCGTGGGCTCTCCCATTCTTTGTTTCGCTAGATCACCAACAAGTTTCTCAACTGGCGAGGTTTTACATTAATAAATGGCCTGTGCGCTGTGCACAGCAGCAGCTATCTTCCAGTATAACCGACTCCCGTGATTGTCCGATTGCGCTATAGGATATTTTATTTACAAAGATAAAGAAGGGGGAAAAACGGGGTTTTAGAATAGTGTCTTAATAACAGATTTCTCGCTGTTTCAGGACTCGTTATAAGTGGATTCCACTGTATAATATATCATAATATATGGTTTTTATATATATCTACTGAGCCCATGCCTTGCTTTTCTTGCTTCAAATGTTAATCAGCAACTATCAACGTTGCCTTACATGAGTATCTGTGGTGCAATGGTTTGGCTTTGCCAGGAATGCTAGACATGAGTTCAAGTTCCCCTAGGGAAGATGCATTTTATGTATTATCTTTGTCTTTATTCTGGGATATAGTATCATATAATGATATCTCATGCCACTTGGGTTGACTGTGACATTGACATTCAATGATATGGAGATTGGAAGTCATCATAAAAAGTGTAGGTCAAGGTCCCTATGGACACAATTAATTTTAGATAATTTAGGAAGCTGGTTTTATATTGTGTCGATGGGGATATGAAATGCATACATACCATGTTCGTATGATTTGACAACCAGTTGAACAATCAGTAACTCATTTCTTGTCTCACTGGCCCGTCCCTTAAGTTATCTTCCCTCCAGACGTGCATTTAAAATAATGGGAAATGTGGAACTGTCAGCCTGGAATCGAGTCTGGGTTGGGTTTGGTTTGGGTTTTTTTTTCGTTTATGGAAATGCAAACAAGTGTCTTTCTTCATGCATCTGATTGCTATCGATGATACATGGCATGAGTTGATTTTTTAAACTTGTGTCTTGAACTAACAGATGCTTAAGATATAATTTTATCTTGAAATAGTGTCTGAAACTTGTCAATGCTCTTTACAAAAATGTGCTGTCCAATCAACCGCAAAAACAGTGTAGCGAAGGTGTGATGTGTCACATAAACTATGATGATAAACTGTGGGCTTATTTTTACTCAGTCTGATTCCTTTTTAGAAGTTCTGGTATTTCTTTTGATATAATGGTTATAAAAATCTTTAAAAGATTAACAACCTCAAAATTCCAGTTTTTTTAAGATTAAAAAAAATTGCAAGGAGGACTATTGTAAAGAGATTTCTGTGGGTAGTTGGAGGATGTCACTGGTATGTCTTTTTTTCTTCTGTCGTTTTTGTTTGTTGTTTTTTTTCCCTCCTCATGAACGTTTTTCTGTTGATGTGCTTCTGTTTACTCAAACTAAATGCAGGCTCCTCTGCTATTTATTTGTTTTACTTTTTGTGAAATGATTGGTTCATGCCACTTCCTGAATATTTTGCTGTGTACCTTTTACTTTTATGCGTACATGTATTATGTTTGATCATTATATAAAGAGCTGTATATACAATATGTGTAACTCTGTCGTACCATAATTCTATTTCAGGATTTCAAAAGCGCAGCATCAGACTTCAGCAAAAAGCTGTCTGCTGATCTAAAAGAAGTTGGCAATGTTCATCAAGACTTCAGCAATGACAGCGCTTCTCGATTTACCCTTACATCAGTGAAGAAAGAGGACACCAAAGGATGAACTTCAGTCCCTATCCTGACGATGATGCATGTATACGATGCTGTTAATGACAGGTTGAAAATCTGCTGGCTTGATTCCATAGTTGCTGCAGCCTTATATTGAACATTTTTTCAAATGAATGGTTATGTTTTGGACTGCTTTCTCTACAGTTTGAATCAAAGTTTTAACATCAAAGGGCTCTTTTTCAAACTTTAAGAGATTGTCATTGTTAGCAGGTAGTTGGTTGGAGCACAAGGGTGCCACCGGTCAGTCCTACTTTTTTTCTTTCATGCCCTTTGTTGTTTCTGTCTGTCTTAGTTGCCATTGTCAGTGAGTTGTGGAGAACGAAAATAAGATAAGCATAACTAAATAATTGTGTCATGTTGGTGTGGTAGACTTGTCTAATTTTCATTGTCTACTGTTCACTGACAAACTGTTGGCCAACTCTTTTGTCGTAGTGCTGTGCTCAGCTTACTCCAACTCTTTCTCTATACACTAAATACAGTGGAAACCATATATATAACAGGCCCGGTAATAACAGGGATCCGGTAATAACAGAGATTTTTAAAATCCCCGTTATTTCCTTCTCTTTCTATCTATTAAAAGTTATCGGCAATAACAGGGCCTCATCGGAGCCCAATCAGTTATAGCAGGGACAAAGGCTCGTTAACAATGTGTGAAAAGTAAGAGAGAGAGAGTAACGCAGTGGTGGAGGAAGCCCACGCAAGCCATACCAATGCAAGCACACGCGGCGTGTGAAGCGAGAGAGGGCTGTGGTGTGCTGCAGACCTCGATCTTGCCCGAAACCTAGCAACACACTCGCGTAATGCGTCACCAACGATGTCAAGCGCAAGAGAAAATGCCTTTCAATTGAGAAAAAATATGAAATAGTCCAGGCTGTTGACAAAAAGCAAGCTCCACTTGCAGAGATGTATCGTCAGTTCGACATTCCACAAGGGTCGATTCTCATCATTATCAAGGATAGAGAGAAGATAGTGGCAGCATATTCCAATGGAAAGTTTGCTCTGGATCGAAAGAAGATGAGACTACCCGATGCAGATGCTGTGGACCAAGCTCTTCTGATGTGGTTTAAGGAGGCGCCAAAACCCCTGTTCGTGGGTACTTGTGGCAAGGGAAACTACCCATGAATAAGTACAGCTGGATTATTCCACAAATGCTTAACTTCCTTGCATTTCTGATTTAACAGTCAGGGATCGGATATAACAGGACATTTTCTCTACTCCCACCATCCCTGTTATATCAGGTTTCCACTGTAACCATTATTGTCTTTATGTGATTCTCTTCACTGGACAAACAGACAAATTGTTGTTATTAGAGCTTCATAAATTGTAATATGAAGTTTTTTCTCTAAACACTGGGCCTACATTGTGTACTCCTGGTGTTACTTTGGGCTAAGGGCAATATTTGTCTTTGTGCTGTTAGATATCAAGTACGTATTCTAGTTCTCGAGGTGAGTTAGGAAGCCCTTGACAATTTATAATATTTGTTGAGTATTATTTATACTTCACCTCTTTGAGTTTGAGCCCTACTGGACCTGTGCTGTCGTCCTGAGTTCCTTTGTGTCAACTCTAGTAAGATTTAGATATGCACCAATGTACAAAGAGATTTTCGAGATATATGCTGTCAGGCTCATCTGATTTTAAATGGCTTAGTCTAACAGTGGGTGCACATTTAAAAGCATGATAAGCTCTCTATTAGAACTGTTACATTCTGATATATATGTTACTTGGTAAATAAAAATGCATCAAATATATGATTATGAATAGGTCAGTCAGGCACAGATAAAACAGAACGGGAAAACTCGAAATCACGGAGAGCTCATACAATTTGCTATTCCCCAATCTCTTTAATTTTTTGTTATCAGTTAAGTGGGATTATAAAGATATGTTGAACACATTAATTTTGCCATACCATGCCATACATGAGATTGATGTGGTTTATGATTCAGATTCAGTATTAAACTGGAATGTGTGTATGCCATCAAATATATGTGAATTTCTTTCTTTGATCATGATGCATATTTCCCCATGGGTGGTTGGAGGGTGTCCTACTTCTTTTTTCCTGGGGTTTTTTTTGTCTTGCTTCTTCATGTATACAGTGGAGTCCACTTATAACGAGTCCGGAAAAAACGAGAAATCTGGTATTAAGACACTATTCTAAAACCCCGTTTTTTTCTCCTCTTTACCTTTGTAAATAAAATACTGCTATAGCCCTATCAGGCAAACATGCGAGTCGGTTATACATGTAGCGGAATATTGCTGCTGCTGTGCACAGTGCATAGGCCAATTATACATAGTGCAAAACCTCGCCAGTTGAAAACTTGTTTGTGATCTTGCGAAACAAAGAATGGGAGAGCCCATGTGCGTCAACAATGAAGGCAGGAGCGACTGAGTAGGGAGGTTGTGGCATGCGCAGACAAGCAGAACGCATCGTGTGATAGGCCAGCGTAAGCCTAGTTTAGATTATCAAGGCCTACACCATGCCTCTCACTTCACCGATGCGGGGAGGGAGAGGTCACAGCAATTTGATGGATGGAGCGAATGTGTGACGTGCGCAAGTAGACAGAATGCACCTCAGGGTGGGGTGGGGTGGGGGAAAACACAGCGGGCGAGTTAGCCTAGAGCCCTTTCTTTTTGATCGATAATGCCGAGCTGTCAGTCCACATCGCTAGATCTAGCGCTAGAGAAAGAAACCTGATTCGAGTTTTGATCAAGCAAGACCTCTAGGTCATGTTGAAACAAAATCATCATCAGGGGAGAGAGCAAAAGGAAACAAACAGACCAACAATCTCATAGATTAAACCTACATAACAGTTTCCATTGAATTTATTACTGGATCCCTTACAGCGAGAATCCTGCTATAATGGACATTTTGCTCCGGTCCCCTCCCTCTCGTTATAACAGGATTCCACTGTATTTATGTGACACAACGCAGTGGAATCAGGCGCTCGTCAATATTTGGGCATATGGAGTTATTGGTATCATCTTAAACGTTCATTTGTCTTGCTTTCGATGACAAAAATACTGTATAACACGGATAGCTCGAATTCGCCAGGACCGGCCTCGGTAGTTAGTTAAAAGGATCCGTAGTTAGAGGGAAATGTGAACAGTGTTATGGCATGGGCTGTGTCAGAGAATCAAGGGAAGCAACAAAGATTGGGTCAGAACAGTGAACAGAGATTTTTTTCTTTTTTTCGGCCATTATCCTAGATCGAGAGAATTTGAAATTGACAGATTGAGTGAGAAACACGATGAGCAACGCTTTCGAGTTCGTTCAGTAATGAGCCTACCAATACCAAGACAAGACAGTTTGACTGCGCGGGTCCGTGTGAGTGGTCTTTACTGTCTTTAGTCTGCTCCAATGGAGCGGTGCCTTTTCAATTTTTTCTAAACATAAAGAATTTGACAAGATAAGCATTTCGCAAGAGTAATCAACAACTCGATGACGGAACAATGCAGCCCTACTCCGCCTCTCCCACCAAGCGTGCAGTCCTTTGCAAAGAGGGGTGGGGCGGCCGATCGTGTGATGCCCAACCCTTCCTCTCGCCCGCTCCACTTCCCAAAGCTGAAGAGTCCTTGGATTACTTGGAAATTGCAAATTAAAATTTTGTGTGCCTTTAATCAAAGTTTTTCCATAAAATCCATGTTTTCAAAAGGACATACAAGACTGGGTGTTGAGCCAAAAATCAAGAATTCGAAAAGAATTTCCAAACTGGCCGAAAAATGCAGATCTCTCGGATTTCAATATTTTGACGAGCACCTTATTTCACCACAATGCCTCACATACAGTATCTCTGCTTACAATCCCGGTTCGCTTAAGATACACCGCTGTTTTAAGAAATTAGAGTTTTTACTATACAAAAGTCACCTTTAATGTCCCGCTCTTATCCACTCTGAAGGTCTACATTCGGCTAAGATCCCGCATTTCTGATAATAATTTACGGAACAAACACCCGGGCGGGTACAGCCGATCAACCAAGAGTGAAGAGTTGAGATCAGTGAACTGCCCGTCGCGTTGAAGATCAGCCACTCTCGTGAATGTGATCACGTAAGTGTTGTAAAACTCGATGAAACAGTACAATGTTTGCCCCAGATGGGTCACACTTATGATGTGTGAACTATTACTAACCTACACGTTTGTTTTCCTCAAACATTGCACTTACACCTGAGCTCTCCACCTAAACTAATATCACTTCGCTCCAGGCAGGATTACATCGTGCTGTTAACTCTTCCCTGACCATTGCAGCAGTTTCCTCTATTCCCGAGTTTGCGAGACAGACTGAATTTTAGTTTATGTGATCACAACGTACTGATGGGTAACGACAAAGGCGAGGGAATTTGATCCGAGAAGGAAAGCTACAGTGGAACTCGGATTCAACGAGAGAAGATGGATTCCCCGGTTTTTTTCGTCTTTTAAATTTAAATCAATAAAAATAATCCGGATTCAACGAACACTTAAATCTTAATCAGCAAGCTTGGATTCAACGAGGTTGCTTCCAGAATGGACAGCCCCCACAGACGTGGTTTTGCTAATTTTTGTCCCACAACGAACTTTATCTATTCCTGGAAACCATCCATTGCACCTGCACCTTGAACCATTCACTTACCCGATTGCATGCGACCAATCAGCGGTCTTTTTTCATACCAACACATGCGTTATTGGCACGCGCACGTGTCGACTCCAGCAAGTGTCGGGGTCGGATGGGCGGCCTGCACATGCGTGACTGTGCGTGTCGGATTGGGGGGGCACCAGCGGTCTGGGCCTTGAACTTAAACGTCGCAGATACAAACGCATCAGTCTTTTTTCCCCTCAGCAACTGATCATTATACAATAATAAGCTAGACTTGACATTACGTAATGAATTGTGTGCTGGTCTGTGGAATCAAAAGTTGCCGTATGATAGGCTCTGCACAGCAACACAACTTTTTGGCAAACTATCGAGATGACACAGGCGTGCATTTGAACGAATCAGTCTTTTTTTTTTTGCACAGCTCATAATAATATGCTGGCATTTCAGGCACTACATGTACTTGTTACTTCTCTTTATATATATACATTACTTGTTCAGTGCCTGTAATTGTCTACATGTACACAAAACCTCATGTTTGCTATAACTACGAACACTCTGATACAAGATTTTAGGTCAGGCCTGGCAACCTCGTTGGATCCGAGTTCCACTGTATAAATTTTTGACAGGTAAAGGGGGTGGGGGCAACTGGATATAATACTGTATAAGCACTGTATTGTATTTGTAAAGTGTTTTACGGCGCTCGCAACTGCATAAGGTCATATGAGCGCGCAGGACACACCTAATATTTTCAGTTGATAGGAAATTTTGAATTTTGCCCGAGTGGCAGCCGAAGCTTACTCTTATCGATTTTAGACCACCAAGGGATCTTTAACGTGCGCAACTTGCACACGGGCCCTCCGAGGTTTTTCGCCCTTGACCGAGAAGGCTTGGTGTAGATCTTTCCTACCAGAAGATCAGGGGTGTGGCAGAAAGACAGCAGTAAGGAGAAGCCAAGGAGTAGCAGTAGAAAGGCTGCAGAGTCAGGAGCCCAGAGGAGTGGGCAAAGGAGGTGAGGGGGTGGGGGCAGAAAGTGGAAATGAAAGCAGACAACAGAAACCGTAGTATAAGCATAGATCTTGAGACTCACGATAGATTAATATGTGAAAATAGCACGCCTCGTGCCACTATGCACTCTGATACTGATAGTACTGATAGGTCATCAAGGTTAACCTATCCTTGCTCACCATATGTCATAAACCCACCCAGCGGGCACGTCAGTTCATTTTAGAGTGAAGGGAGACCATTTTACAGATTTTGAACCTTAACTTTTAACATGGGTCACCATAGACTCTTCCCTAAAGAAGTAGAGCCTTTAAAGAATTCCACTTGCCTCTATGCCTGAACAAACCTACTGCTAAGTTTTAAATGAAAATGTACAGATTTTACTTTCAATGTAGTTTTTACGCCCTTAGGAAGTGGGGCTTCTGAACCTGCGTATCAGGGCCAAACTTACATAACTTAGTTTAGTTAGTAGAGGTTTTACGGCGCTCGCAACTGCATAAGGTCATAATATGAGCGCCAGAAGATTAGAGGTGTTACAAGAGAGTAACAAACATAAAAAAGAAGGGGGAGATATAAGGATGATAGATAGGAAAGAAGAAGCAAACCACACCAGAGCACCCGCCAACCACCCACAGGGCCAAACTGGGCAGAGAAAAAAACATTCCAGCAGAAAGACTATGATACTCCTAAAATTTTCTACATGCCAGTAGTACTCGGGTCTCCTGTGTGCTACCACGAAGCTCCCAACCGCTACACCAGATGCCGGTAAATTATACACAGTAGGCCTACTGAAATTGTTTCACTAAAGCAATGCACATGGACACAACAAAAAACAATGTTCATTCAGAACAGAGAAAACGTAAAAGACAGAAAGAAATAAGAGGGAAAGAAAAGTAGTACGTTAGAACTAAGAACCTTCCTGGTTGCCCCTCGCTCCAAACACACAAACCGTATAGTCACAGTATATAGACAACAAAGTCTGCAAGACTAAGAGTAAGACAGTCTGCCTCACACTCATAGCCATAGATCTACACTTACACTGCTCCTAGACTATTTTACCCTTTAAACACTTTGCTGCCTTATAAAACTTATATTGCCGATTGGCGAAGTTTACCACCCATTTTCTTTGGATTTTCCGCAAAATATTGGCAGTTTAAAAAAATCTCACCAGCTTCTAAGAAATGACTAAATTAATTTTTTTTAAAGAAAATATCAAGCAAGTCCACCTCTTTTCTGTCGCCATGAGGATAAGAAGAGCAGTATCTCGATCAGTAAGTTGTACCATGCAGGATGGTTCTTTTCCAGCTGAAATCAGTTCCACCAGTACAACAGACTATTTTTTTGTGTCAAAGTTTCCAACCACAACAAAAAGTCATTCAGCTGTTGCTAAAATTTAAGGAAGTGGCTTATTTATGAATATGCACACTCCTAAAGAAACTAAAATATTTCTACATACATGTACTTTGTCTTTAAAAAGTATTCTAATAATAATCCCAACAAAAAAATTACAAAATGAGCTCAGGTTTCAGATATTTAAACTTTATTGTGTTTGTGAGTGTTCTACAAAATGATAGATGGTACAGTACAAAGAATGATGTTATGGAGGAAAGAGCAAGACTCGACAAAGAAAGAAATTTCAATGTTGAGCAAATAAAGAAAGAAAACAAATCATTTTCAGTACAAAATACACACACAAAAAGCTAAGTAACTAAAATCACTCATCATCAAGATGATTTATCACTGAAAAAACCAACAGGAAATCTAACAGTTTCATATGACAAAAGGGCAAAGCTGTTAGAGAAACTATGGCGACCCCAATTAACAATGCGCGTGAAGATTATAAATGAACACAACGCATAAAATTTGAGAATGAAAATGGTATTCAGATCAGTAGCCTAAATTTATACAACATTTTTCAAACCTATGTACAATTTTACTGTTTACACAAACCATACACAACTTACAGGCAATACAGCCGACTACTGCAGCTAGCCGTGAGGAGATACAACAAAAGGGGGAAAATCCATTGCATTACAGGAATAATTGAATATCATCATATCAATGATTGATACTGGTTTTTAAAAAATACCCTTACTGTAACACAAACCAGGTCCTATATGAGCATTTTAAAAATTAATTTCCTTTTTGAAACTTGAGAGATACCAAACTATATGAAGCTGCCTACAGACATTCCTTCAACACATCTTGTTAAAAGACTGGCTCAAGCAAAACACGCAAGTTTTGACTCCCCAGGAGAAGTAAGATCAAAGATTAACACATACGTACCTGGGTACCATCAATTTAGATGACCTTGATGAGAGTCGTGTCGTGCTTTTTTAATTAGATCCTACGCTAAACAAAAGTAAATGTATCATGACGACACTTTTAAAACAGATTACAAACAAAACAAACAGCACAAGTATGAATATCATGCAAAACCAAAACAGACAACACGCCCCCACCCCCGGCACACTCTTACGATCCACACATCAAACAATCGTCCTTGTTCTGCAGCGAGCATGCCAACACAGCCATATTCTTGTTCTTCTCATTCTCTTTCTTTACACTTTCATTTTCTTTGTCATCTGATGATGCGCCCTTCTGCACAGTGGCTTTCTCCGCTTCTTTCTTCGGTGTGTTGGTTTTGTTGGTCTCTGAAAGACGTGCCTTGTCCACAGTGAACTGAATAGCTTGTGCCGCTGGCTTGGTGCGCAGATAGTACATTCCTGTCTTCAGGCCCTAGAGAGAAAAATAATATAAATTCACTGGATTGAATTTTATGGTCCTTGCAACACAATGCGGTCATAAAAGTGCTGAAGATCAGGACATGTTACAAGAGAGCAACAAAATAAAAAGAGATAATGACGGCAGACATCTGATAGGAAAGGAGCAAACCACACTAGAGCACCCGCCAACCACCCACAATTCACTGAATGACATTTTGAGTATGTGGCTGTATCTAAATAGAAAGATTTATAAGGATTTGTTATAAATACAGCCATGGGCATAATCCACCCATTTCTGAATGCACCACTTTTTATTTGAAAGCAACATTCCTGTTTTTGTTTGGGTTATGATATTTCTAGTCCGGTTACATCTTTACATTGGTGCAAGACTGTAAGTTCCCTCATTTTACACCAACCGTGCTTCCACGAGCTGAAGCTGAAAAGTAAGGAAAATTCTGCCGGGGGTCTGGGGACATTTTGTCTTGTTTGATTTCCTCACCAAGATCTACATAATATATTTCCATTGATGGCAATGTTTAAAAGCAGGTTCCCCTTCCACTGCTACTATAATTCAATTAATTAGTCATCGCAACATTGATAGAAAGCAAACCTTGGAATAATGAATAGATATATGTATCTTCACAATACAGTTACCCGGCGTAAATGGCGTGTATACCCTTATTTTCCTTAAATTTCACGCCTGAATGTCGCATGTCACAACCTTGGAACACCACTTCGAATTATTCTTGACTTTAGTAGTTTTAGCATAAATTTCTTTCATCGCGGCCCTTATCGCGTCCGCGTGCCGTAGAATCTTCGTATTAATCATTTCTCTAGATCTAGACAAATTTTTTGAAAAGTTTCTTTCCGACAGTAATTTTCTGTCTAAGATCACAAGTCAATTTACTCGATCAACGCGCAGATTTTCCAGCCGCGGCAACAATCCGAAGATAGACAGACGGAGTGAGAGAATGATAGGAGGAACTTGGCACAAAATGTTCGCCAGATTTTGATCAATCCACAGGTAAAAATGTACTGCTGACAAGCCCGCAATGAATGCAAGGGGCATAGCGGAATAATGGCCGATTGCAATCTGGCAGGTCTCTATAACATTAACTTATAGCCGAGAGAATTACCGTAAATATCCGCAACTTGTACTAGACAATACGAAGGCGAGCACAGATCTTTTGCTACGGAAATTCGGTAGTCCTACGATGTCGCAGATTTTTACAGAGGGGGGGGAGTTGATAATGATGGAGGAACAAGTACGGAACTGGTAGAAAGTACAGAAGAGTGGAAGCACTACACCAAACTGACGCTCTGACAAAGTGAAACTAGATGTTTTCATTTCTAGAATCCTTTCCAAGTAAATCCAAGCTTTGTAGTAACAAATCCTTTTATAAATGACGAATCAGGTTAAAATGCAACAAAACTGAAGCGCCCCATAATCGCCAATATAATCCATAAAGAGTTAAAGCATCAACGTTCAACTTATATACACACACACACCAAAAAAACAACAACCCAGTAAACAGTAAAATGATCTGAAGGGGAAAAGTGGGGGGGAATGCACTTCTTGTTAGATCTAGTAAAAGAACACTGCTTCTAACAAGTCTATTTCCACTGTAGTACATAATGAGTTATTTATTTTTGCCTCTACAATAGTGACTACCAGCTTCAGGTTGGTAAGTGGTTAATATTCATTCTTTGCAGATATTTTAATTCTAAAAAAAGGCGTCGGCGACCTCGTGGTTAGCTTACTGGACCCGTAATTATGACATTGCGGGTTCGAGGTTGAAGTCTTAGCTCAGTCCAACATTGTGTCCTAAGAAAGGCACTTAACACAAATTTCCCATTTTGGCTCAGCCCTTTCGGAGATGAACGAACATTAAACTCGAAAGTCCCTCCTCTTAAATAACATAATAGGGGTGCTAAACCAATACTATTTCACCATTTTTAAAAATTCTCAAGACTTAGAGTTAAGAGAAACTTACCAGCTTCCAGGCATAGAAGTGCATGCTGGAGAGCTTCCCATAGTTGGGTTCAGCGATGTGAATATTCAGTGACTGGCTCTGGTCAACGTAAGCACCACGGTCAGCTGCCATTTCAAGAACCACCTGAGGTGGGGTAAAAATAGGATATAATTAATTACTGCAAGATGGTAAAAAAATATATATTTACAACAGGCAGGTGTCAGGTCAGAATATAAACTATTTAAAAAATTTTTTTTTAAAAAGAGTTCCTATGCTGACTATGCATGCACAAAACGGTTTCTAAGATTTTGGGTATTGTGGCAACATGTGTAACAACGGAAGAGATGCATATCGATACTATAATGGTCTGAGAAAAGAGACATGATGGAAAGCACTCTTCTACTATCTCCCATCAAATAAAATGCATGTAAAAAACAGGGAGTAGAAAAATATGGCACAATGAAACATTTGTAGGTAAGTTTAATTTAAGTAGAGGTTTTACGGCACTCGCAACTGCAAGCATACGGTCATATGAGAGCCAGAAGATTAGGTGTTACAAGAGTAACAAACAAAAAAGAAGGGGGAGATAAGGATGATAGAAGTTAGATAGGAAAGAAGAAGCAAACCACACTAGAGCACCCGCTAAAGACCCACATCATAGGTAAGAAAGAAGGGTGGAACAAAAAAAACCCAGGCAAATATAAATGGTTTATTTGAGTGGGAATGGTACTCTCTAAAGGATTCACTCACCTTTTGCTTGATTTCCCAGACAGTTTTGTAGAGAGCCTTCAGATCATCAGGGATACACTCAATTCCTTGGATGGAACCTCCAGCAGCAATCATTTGAGTCTTGACATCTTCATCCCACAATCCCAGCTCTGTCAGATCTGTAGAGTTAAAAAACACATAGTCATTACTAGGATAGATATGCAGGTGGTCAGAAGACAGGCCCAACTTCTTTTCCATTTGTCATCTGTATTTACCAGGCTTTTCCCCTCAGCATTTTAAATGAGTGGTATCTGCATCTCTGTATTCAATAAAATAACTTTGCTGCAAAATGAAAGACAGAATGCCCATTGAGGGATCGACAAACCGATCATCTGACTCGTCACCTGAAAACAAACGCTTTTGAGGCAACGAGTCGGGCGATCAGTTTGTGCCACGATAGCCGCTTCGCACCCTCAATCTGCCTAGCAAACCGAACCAATGGGCACTGGATATTATAACTGAACCCAGACCGTTCATAGGAAATGGGATATAATTTTTTTTAAACAAAGGATGAAAACCATATAAATCATTGAGAAAAAGTAGGCGGACTATCTCCCAGACATGCAATTCAGTTGTGCTAAAGTACTCAAAAACACAAAACTGCTGGAAACTACATTATCAAATTGACTTTTTTTATTTAAATCTCACCTTTCAGTAAGTGTTGGTTGACAATCTGGAACTCCCCTGAGAGAACTCTGCGTGTGTAGATGTTGCTGGTGTAGGCCTCAATAGACTCATTGTTTCCCAAAATCTGAGCTGTCGAAGCGGTTGGCATGGGGGCAAGGAGAAGACTGTTGCGGATTCCAAACTTAGAAATTCTCTGCCTGAGTCCAGCCCAGTCCAGTTTCGTCACCTGAGGGACACCAAAACAAAATTTTTCTTAGAAACAGCAGGATGATTTCTCAAAATCTAAATTTCCATTTTTTCACATTACAATCACAAACACCTCTTTCCATTGACACTACTGCATTCTTTTCTGGACAATTAAGGCAACAAGACGTCCCAAATGCCACAGCCTTTAAATTTTATTCAACAACTTAATACAACCAAGTCAGCTATGACCTGAAACATTTAAGCACTACAGACTAGGAGTTTTGACCTTTTTAAAACAGACAGACAACAATTTTTCAAAGACGTACAGACTCAAAATCCTACAAACTTTTCATTTCAAGAGAAGTCTAGAAACTTAAATAAAATCATGAAACAACAAATACCAAATTAAAAGTTGAAAAATGCATCATGCTTTTTAGAGGTTGGGAAAAAAAACAAGTCACACTGACTGTCATATTGGTGCAAATGGGAATGGGAACTCAAAATTTTTAAAACTGATCATATTGTCTAATACATCTTGTATCAAGATTTTTAAAATATACAGGGCAATACGATACGCAATTTCAGAAATGTTGCTTTCGAGAAGATAAGCAAATTTGAACAAGCTAGATAAATCATAATTTGTCACACCTCTTTAACGCCCCACATATCGTGTTGCAGGATGCCTTTGCTGACAGGAGAGCCTTCATATGTCTCGTAGGGTCCTAATTTTTCTGCAAGCTCACAACTGGCATCCAGGGCAGCAAAGTAAATCGTCTCAAAGATCTCCTTGTTCAGCTGCTTGGCCTCTGGGCTGTCAAAAGGGAATCTCATCAAGATGAAAGCATCAGCAAGACCCTGAACTCCCAACCCGATGGGACGGTGACGCATGTTGGAATTTTTAGCCTGGGAAAAAAAAAAAGAAGACTAGAATGGATCTTCTGAACACGAAAGATTACAACTCATGACACTTCAAAAGACGAAAATTAATCAACAAAATATATATATACTAATGGAATGTAAAAAAAAAAAAAAAAGAAACCCTCTTCAAAGACACAAATCAGAATTTTACTAACTTTCTCCAGATACCACCAGGTACACAAGGCAGAGAGCAGTAAATACTAAGCTTGCCTGTTCCGGTCATTTTTACAAATAAGCAAAAAAAATGGTGCCTTTCAGAAAGCTGGAAAAAAACAACAAACAAACTTGTCAGGTAGACCGCTGGATGGTTTGATTTTTCATGTACAGACATAATAGAATGTAATTTGATTATTACAATATTTTGGTATTTTGATGAAAATGGTTGTCATTTCTGGATTTAAACTGGCAATAAGTTGCATCATGTAAGCAATAAGGATTTTTAAAATCCCTACCTCAGGAACAGGATAGTAGTTGATGTCAATGATCTTGTTCAAGTTGCGAGTCGCAACTTTGGTGACGTGTTGAAGACGCTCAAAGTCAAAAGTTTTGTCGGGTTTCACAAACATGTTCAAAGCAATCGAAGCCAAGTTGCAGACGGCAACCTGAAATGAAAAAAAAAAAGTTTTAAAATGTATATAAAAACGAAATATTTGAGTGAAGAGAAGCAGATTGACAGTCATGGTCATGAAAAAGACACATACGGGAACAAATACAGAGAAAACACATACAGGAACAAATACAGAGAAAAAAAAAGAACTACCTGCTTACTCGACGAAGAAAATCTTGATCACTTTAAGCAATCAATAAAACTGCATAACAGAAGGCACATTTTCTGTCAAACCACAAAAAAAAATTGTATCAATAAACCACAAAAAAAATTGTGTCAATAAATCACACACACCACCTTTTCTCCAGCAGCATAAAATAGAACTAAAACAAACTATGCCCCCATCCCCAATATTGCTGCTCAGGCCTGTGTTGTAGCACACTGTCAATTTCTTTTGTTTTTCGTTTTTAGTAAGTTTTACAGCACTTGCAACACAATAAGGTTATACAAGTGCCGAAGATGAGAGGTGTCACAAGCAAGTAACAAACACAAAAAAAGAGGAGGGGGAGATAATGACAAGAGTTGACGATAGGAAAGAAGGAGCACACCACACCAGAGCACCCGCCAACCACCCACCTGTCAATTTCTTACAATGGATAATCATGAGAGTACAAATCTCTTAAAGAGATGCAAATAAACTAGCCTCTAAAAAGCGAAGATAAAAATAAAAAAACCCAACAAACAACAAAATCCCAACAATGTCAGAAACCCAACTTGACAGGAAAATCTTAGGTTTGTATCCCCATATGGAGAACTGACCTCATCAGGAGCGGTGTACTCCACAATCTCTGTGCACAAGTTGCTACACTTGATGGTGCCCAGGTTCTGCTGGTTGGACTTTCGGTTACAGCTGTCTTTGTACAACATGTACGGAGTTCCTGTCTCCGTCTGTGACTCAATGATGGCGTACCACAACTTCTGGGCCTTCATGGTCTTCTTGCCCTTTCCTTCTTTCTCATACCTGTAACACAAAGAGCATTTGTTTGAGAAGCACAATCGATGAACAACAATTGTGTAAAGAAAGAACAAAATAGATTAGACCTGCATGTGAGCCTCAACCAGATTGTCTGAAAATTTTGCGCACCCCCCCCAACAACTTAAAGAGCTTTTAAATTGTGGGTGTCATAAAAGGAAGGATTTCCGAGTAACGAGCGACCACCCGAACAAACACAATAAAGAAGGCCAGCACAAGTCACACACACACACACACACACACACACAAAAAAAAAAAAAAAAAAAAAAAAAAAAAAAAAGAAAGAAAAGAGCACACTCCAAAATAAACAAGGAGCATTAATAATAATAAAAATAATATGGCCTACATTGCTATAAAGAGTTTGATACAACAGAATTGGATAAAGATCTATGAATCCTCCATATAGATCTCAGTGATCTAAATCAATCTAGATCTAGTAGAACAAGTGAATAGGAATAGATCTAGAATCTAGGTCTTGAACGAGAAATCCGCATCCGATTCCGAAGTGATGGACTCAGCTGAGTCTAGGGGTCTAGATTAAATCTTTATTCTAAGTAAATAATTCACGCACCTGATAAAATGCGTTTTACGAACATTAATATTACAGCACAACCTATAATATGGTTCGACACAATAGAATTGGAATATGAATCCTCCATTGAGGTCTATAATGATCTATAAATCTAGATCTAAAGTAGAACAAGTGAGTCGGACTTGAAAGAATCCACATGATCTGAACAATCAGTAAACAAACGAAATTCAAAATGGCCGCTCGAGCACGAAACTGAAAGTAGATAATTTAAGTCGTACTTTTTCGTATTCGTATTTCTACTCAGGTTCCGACAATCATGTCGGAAACGCGGTCTAATAGATGGACAGAAAGTACAGAGGGTAAGAAAAGAAAGAAGTTGAAAAAAACCTAGTGACTAGTGGCACCCGCCAACCACTTATAAGGACATTGTGAAAAAACAGCCCCTTAACTCTTAGCCTGCGTCTGTGCCCAGATGCGTATCTTATCAGCAACCGATTACGTCGGACTCGCCGGGCAGGCCGCCGAGGTCACTCAGTGTGTACTGTTGGTGTACAGCGCGCGCGCCGGGAACGTGTGTTTTCGCCATGAATACCGCGGGAGTGTGTTAACTAATGATGAAAATAACGCTCTATCCTTCATAGCATTCTATTTATAAAGTGTTACAAACACATGAATAACCCCCTCTCACAAGCTGATAAGACATTACGAGTAGTTACGCCCATTTGAATAACCTTTCTGGACGCTCTTGTTGTTATGAATGACCTGAGGTTCGAAAAGGGATAATTTAGGTCAATTTCCAAATGTTTTACACTCAAATTGTTCTTTGTACCTGCACAAGGGTATTCAAAACTATTAAACAAGCTCATTTTTTATCAGGTATATCATTTCATACAAAATCAAGCTCATTTGAAATATTTTGTATAGAAAAATGGAAGTCTTGTTTCCTGACTATCCTTTCGAGCTCTTCATGTCTAAGTGGGTCAATTTCTTCTATAATTTCATTGGACAAACATCTAGAGCTATCAACTTGGCATGTTTTGAATGAGACGTATGCCTCGATTATGAACCAACGCAGGTGGTTCTAGAAGAAGGCCACAAACGCACACAAACTCAAGCAGACTGACGCACACACACTTGACCTGCGTGAATGGGGATCCGACTTGGGACCCGAATGACATGTAAGAGGCTGCGCGCGGCGCGTGCGCTGAGCCAGGAGCTACACTGACTCGGGACCAGAACGCAGGCGAGGTGCCGAAACAGGCTTATCGGGCTACATAAACCCGGCTCCCGCAGGATGAGGGTTAAGTATGTACAGAAAAGTATCAGAGGCGCCAACTGATTTGTGGAAAAAAAAAAAAACCCAGAACTTTTTCAACCGCTTCAAAAATCAGGGTTTCTGGAGAATCAGCACCTCTGAGGTGCACAGTATTCTTCAAAATTACAATCTTCATTCTCATTTGCTAACCGACCAAGTCACATATTTTGCAAGAAAATTGAGAGGGGGGAAAAAAATTGATTCCAGAGAGACTCGATTTTATCGGAGTGCTTGGTAGGTCTAAAAACTCGGAAAAAGTAGAAACTCACTTTTCATACAGTTTGTCAAACTCTTCCCCCCACACATCAGCCAAGCCTGGGCACTCGTGAGGACACATCAAAGTCCAGTCTCCATTTTCTTCCACTCTGCGCATGAACAAGTCCGGGATCCACATGGCGTAGAACAAATCCCTGGCCCTCTGCTCCTCAGCACCAGTGTTCTTCTTCAGGTCCAAGAACTCAAAGATGTCGGCATGCCATGGCTCCAGGTAAACGGCAAACGCTCCAGGCCTCTGAAAATAGGAGGACAAAAATCATTGCAAATTCAAAATGAAAAGTTGAGAGAACCAACCAGCGGCGCCTTCCAAACACGACATAAAAATCTAGCCATTTATATAGTAGAACTGAAATAGTATCATTACTTACTCCCCCCCCCCCCCCCCCCCCCCCGAGTCATTTGACAAAATTCTAAAATAGCTAGAAAACATTTGTGTGTGTGAGCCTAAAGAAAGGTACCAAAAGTACCCCCAAAAACCGTATTTTCCCCCATACCGGGCATGTTTTTCACCATTTCCTCATAAAGTCAATATTTTATTTTTCTTTACCGCTGATTTCTCAAAACGCGACTTTTCTCAATACTTTTTTTAATAACTCCACCATTTTTCATCCAATCATAATGAAATTTTCACAGAATGAAGAGAAGATGTAATACTAAAAATACATCAGTTGAATTTTTGATATTTGGAATAGTTTTTTGTTGGTGGTGTCTTGAGTGTGAATTTTTACTGATTTTTTGCAAACTTGAATGGTACCTCAGAAAAAAATTCATAAAATTTTTTAAAATTCGTTTAAGAAAAAAAACAGACAAATTTTTAGATCTAATGTTTAACACGCATGCAAAAAAACCCAATCAATTTCCATGAGCAGTAAGTGCGGTATTCATTATGCAAGACATGTCCACAAAATCCAATATGGTCGCCGTATCCATAGAAACGAAACTTTTTTCTCAAATTGGATTAGTCATTAAGATTCCTTACTACGCTTGTTATATGTGTGAAGTTTGGTAAAATTCGGTCCAGTAAATAAGCAGCCTGTGGCGACTTTTGGTACTTTCTTTAGGCACACACATTTTTACAGTAAAACAAATTAACCGAGAGAAAAGAAACAGATTTTTTCTAAAAAGGCACTTGTTAAAAATCTCCTGCGAAGAAATCTTACCAAAAGTTAAGAAATAAGAGTCAAGTATCCATAATGGTGGCCAAACAAATCGGAATCCTAAATTAAAAAGAAAACAGATACAACTTTTTAAAAAATGTTTTTCAGACGTCATGGAACAAACACGCAGGGACTCAAACTTTACTGATATATCTTGTATCGAGACTAATTTTTCTATGAAGTGCAATATGACGTGCCAAAAGAGATTAAAAATAAAGGTATATTGCAGGAAAATATTGCAACTGAAACACAAATTGATAGATAATTTAAGGACTCCCTGGTTTATCTAGAAAATTGACACCTCTGAAGAAAAGCTCACTCTCAACCACACTGATGTACACACCTTGTTTCCTCCCTGGTCCACATATCTTGATGTGTTATTGTAGACTCGCAGCATAGGAATCAGACCATTAGACGTTCCATTTGTCTGAAATAAAGAAAATAAAAACATTTTGTTCTAAAATTACACTTTCAAGTCATCATGTCTATTTTAAATTCTTATTAACAACATCTGTTGGAAAACAAACATTTTCTATGCCTCTTTTCTCTTAAACTTAATTTCAACAAGAACTTCCCCTAAAGCTTGATGTTTAAACATGGGGTGACACTGCCCAGCAATATGCTCACAAACACCAAAAGAAAACAGGTATACTCATACAAAGCCCATCCTGACACTATTAAATGAATAGCATCTCCTTTCCCAAAAAATACAGCTCGCATAAAACTAAGGGAAAAAGATTGCTACTCTGCAATCACCAGACGACACTATCTTAATGTAATTCTTAACTGTCTTTAAAAAATCTTAAAAGCAGTCGAGAGTTTGAGAACTACAACTCACCCCCGCAATGTAGCTTCCAGCAGCTCTGATGCAGTGCACGTGGAGCCCAACGCCCCCAGCACTTTTGGAGATGAGAGCGCACTGTTTCAGGGTATCGTAGATGCCTTCGATGCTGTCAGAGTGCATGGCAATCAGGAAACAACTGTTGAAAGAATAGAAGAAAAACCAAAATTAATAAATGCTGCTGAGAAATTGTGCTAAAACATTTTACAATTAAAAATGATCTAAGAGACCTCAGTATCCAATTCGCAGAGAAATTGACAATGAGCAGGAAGAAAACAAGGACAACGCTTAGAAACAGACACAAACAAATAAAAAAAATTAAAAAAAGAGAGAACATTCCATTCACAAATAAGTGAGGCAAAGTAGAATGTGTCCCTACGTGTTCCACCCTAACTTGCCCACTCCAACCAGGTGTCTTTAGAAACGAATTATCGCCATAACGAGACTCCGGGGCCGAGATTTTGTTTTACATAGTATTGCAAAATGTTTCTTCTTCCGTTTGATACCAAAATCTTCGGGTTAGTAGTTTTAATATCAGAGCCGAACGAAGTGCGATCGCGTTTCCGACACTTCGAAGGTGTCTTTTGACTTGTTGATAAACGACGCAAATTGAGTTTGAAAAAGGAAATAACGATGGATTTGAGAAAGAACAAGCAAATGACGAACAAGATGAATTAGATATTGATGAAAATGTAGCCAGAGTTTTGGGCGATTAAAATTAATCAGATGTAGAATTTAGATATAGGGCTGCTGCTCAACAGCGAGTGAAAGTGGCGGGTCGGACACCCCGATTGAACTAAAGTTAGAACATTTCCAACAGTTTGCGCATACATGAAGTTATATTTTTCTGAAATTACACTAATTTCTCTTTCTAATTTTTTCAGGATTTTTGGAATTTGTTTAGTATTTTTGAAATGCGTGTATTCATGGAAGGTGGGTTCTTTCCCCTTGCTTAGGATCTAGGGGTAGGACTTCCCCTCCAGACCCGTAGGGCGTAATGTGTTAAAATAAAAAACTGATTCGTAAGCATACCTGGACAACTGTGGTCTGTTTGTGCCGGCGTTGAACAGAGTTGGCGAAGCGTGTGTGAACCATTTTTCTGACAGGAGGTTGTAGGTCTGTGAAAGTACAAAAATTCTCAAATTAGAAAGTAATGATAAAGACTTGGCCAAGCAACAAATTTGACACACACCCCCTCCCCAAGCGATTAAAACTGCTTCAAGTGCTGTTCATATGGCAATCAATAGAGATAAAAACTGAAAAAATGCAATGTGATAAGAAAAAATACCAGTGTGCAGTGAAATCCCCATCCACCAGTCAAATCATTTATAAAAAGGGCCTTCATGATAATATGTGAAGGGTGCTAATATAGTTGAGTTACTTCTCGGATTTGAGACCTATGGAAATAGATAACGTCACACCTATAGGTGAAGTTTTTACAGTTTATAAATGAAAGGCTTATTAAATTTTAAGAATAAGGCATGAAAAGCAAATCTACAAATTTGACCCTAGTGTCGATTTTTAGTCAATATCTCCATTTGCGGATGCAGCCAGAGCAAGCAAGTAATAAACAGCCATGTGAACCTCAGAACATTCATTTTGCATTTGCTCCATGATTGTATTCACTGAGCGCCCAAGCGAACTCTAGTAGATAAAATACTCGACTCGAGGTCATCATGTATTGTTTGTTAATTGTTTCAAACCCCTAGCAGTTCCAAAGGGAGTGAAATGCTGGTGACATAGTACTGTAAGGAGTATGACAGTGTGATGCAACTTGTCACTAGGGAAAAGCTTTAAAAATTCCCAAAGGCCTTAGGAATTAAATTGTATGGCTTTTATATTAGGACCTACCTCAATAGCGGCAGTGATGTCATTTTGGTGGATTCCCACAGCAACTCTCATCAGCATCTGCTGGGGTCTTTCTGCCACTGTAGGGAGAATAAAACCAAGCTACAGTACATCTGATCCATGCACACCTCTCTCTCTCTCTCTATATATATATATAGTCTAAGCTGACTAAGATGACCAGCCATAGTCCAACAGAAAAACGGTCAGCTTAGTCAGTGGACCGCTCAGATAGTGTCGTTATATTTTTCTAAAATGAAAGATTCAAGTGGAAAGTGGTCATTGGTACAGGTAGATGTTAGATCAAATTTTAGATCACATGCTACCACTATCTACTGTATCATTTTCTTTAGTGACATTCAAGATTGAACTTGTGATTTTCTCATGTAGTATACATGTGAACTAACAGGTGTGACAGATTTCCTGCCCCTCTCATGTTCCAAAGTCATTGACATCATTCTTCTGTAAGTTTCTGATGATTTTTCTTCTGAAATGTCATTTCCTACAAATTCTACTTCTTTGTTTTACACAGTGACATTCCCATCACTCCTGCACTCAGGACAAGATAAAATCATCCATTGACAAAGACTCAAAGTATAATTTTGTCTTACCTTTTCCATCAATCTTGAGAAGGTAAGATCTTTCTAGGGTCTGAAAAGAAAAAAAATAATCCCTTCTGCTATACAAGCTGCCAGCTACAAAGTGAGGTACAAAGAAGTGCAGGGGGGGGAAGAGGAGGAGAGGGGAGGGAGGAAGAGGAGGAGACAAGACGACCACACACGCCTATATACGGAACATTGGGTACATTACCAGAAACAACAGAATATTGTTCATATAAATTATGAAATTACAACTAGATCATTGTCAAAGACAACCCGAGCTCAGACCAAAGTTAATGGTGTACACTGAAACCAAGATTTTAGTCTGAAATTAAAAACAATTGTTCAAATCATCAAATCAGTAAAAGGGAATAGAATCTACAGGAATCAAAGTCAGCCACAAAACCAGAAGTGGTGAAACCAGCAGCAGTGTAACATGCAACCTTTTGAGGAAAGAAGTTAAGTTTGAGCGCTTACCTTGAAGCCAAAATAGTTGTATGAATAGTCTCTGTCGTAGATGATAGCAGAGTTCAACCTCTGAAATAAGAAAAAAGTGCAATTAATCTCAATGCTGTTCAAAATTAAAGAACCAATACACACACATTATGTATTGTTGAAGTAATGTAACAGCAACATCAATACACTTTATATCATACTTCCCTTAGTTTCAGAAAAAAAATCCTTTTAAATGTAAAAGTAAGGCTGCGTTAAACAGATTATAATTCTATTTAAATCTTTAATAAAAATGTGCCAAAATATAAAAACAAGCTCACATCAGCATTTTTCTGAATGATCTCGTAGACTTCCTTTGAGATCATGGGAGAATGTTTACCAGTCTTTGGGTTCACCCAGTTGTACAAGTCCGTCATGGCATCTGGTACAAAACAGAAAAATGGAAAAGTAGGAATAAGTTAGCATAATCATTTCTAAGACCCAACCGAGACTACATAGTCATATTGTGTAAAACAAAAGCCACTTACTCAACACATCACATGCCTATAAAAGGATTTTTAAAACTGATTCAAATGCAATCCCCTCTATTCTCTTTAATATCCAAAATACTGAAACATTTTCAAAATGTCAAAAAAACAAAAAAAACAACAACAACCAAGGAAAGGAATCTACAGATGAAATAATTTAGTAAAAGACTACACATCATTCCCCTCCCCCAAGAAAGAAAAAAAAAAAATAAATAAATAAAAGAGAGAGAGAGAGAGAGAGAGAGAGAAAGACACTGACCACTGAACAATTTCTTGCTTTCCTTGTGAAGGTTTGACACGGCGATACGAGCAGCCAATATGGCGTAGTCAGGATGTTTGGTGGTCATCGTGGCTGCTGTCTCAGCTGCCAGATTGTCCAGCTCGACAGTAGTCACTCCCGGGTACAGGCCATTGATGACCTTCAAGGTAATTGCAGCCTGCAGAGCGAAAGAAACAAACAATTGTGAGTACAGTATTCAACAACTGAGTGTCAGATACATATATCTTGATGAACCTGGCAAAATAATATATGAATTTTTTTACTATAAGTTTTATGTTCTGGGGCCCCATCTGAAAAATTAGAGCAACTGGTTTTGACCCTGTTACGGCCAGCCAGGATTGATTCGGATACATTCCACCAGGCAGACGGAGATACTCGATAACTTGATTACATGAAATTAATTTAACTCTATTCAGGGTTGGTTGTGTGTGTAAGCCGCTAAGCAGGGACTCTCAGTATGGAATCATTAAAAATGTCAGTAAATTGGTCATTAAATCAAATCTTATGAACCTATTTTAATCTTTTTCATCTTATGAAAGAACTCCCAGTAAAAGAGACGTGTCTTCGGCAATTGTTGAAAACAAATTTCATGGAAGTCATGAAAGAATGTGCCCAGGCTGTTGCCAGTTGGTTCTGACCGCGAACCGTTTGCCAGAGTCCAGAGATAAGGACTTAAATTTTTTTAAAAGATTCAGACATGTTCCCCACCTCACAAACTACCATTAAAAATGATTTAGGCTATATTTATTTATAGATCTAACCCTAAATAACAAAAAGTATTCTGCATTCACTTGCCACTTACCGCATCAACAAAGTCCTTGTGTAAGCCATAGCACAGTTTGTGGATTCTTGAAGTGATTTTGTCAAAGTGAACACTTTCTCTGCGGCCGCCTGTAAAGTAGTGTAAGAAAAAGAAAGATAACTATCCCATTCTTAAAAACCCAATAATCATCACCCTGAAAAAATATCCCTGCCCCGTAACGAGTGACCACTAAGAAACAAGAGTCGAATAGATCTAATCTAGATTTGGTGATATTGACGTAGTTCTGTTTGTTTACATCCAGAGAAGAAATCTGGGAGTCTTGATGGCCAAATAGGCAACCCAAAGAACAGGGATGCAACTACTGCAAAACATCAAATTTGTGGTAAAATTCACCCTCCTCTACTATTATTTATTAGGTTAGGGGGGCACCCCCCTACTCTTGACTCTTGCAGCCCAAACCGGCGAATAATAATTGGGGGGTGGAGGAAACTGCCCACAAAGCGCAATTCTTAGCTTGAATTTTGATTTTCTGGCTTAAGTGTTTCCTTCCAGTCTCACACTTAGATCTAGTTCACTCCTCAACGTTTACCTGGCGTTAAGCTTTGAACTTTAACGAACGAAACTACAAAATCACCCTTCCCTAGATTTAGATGATCTCTATAACTAGAATAGAGGGTAAGGGGATGATCTTGTAGTTCAGTTCGTTAAAAGTCCACGATCCATTTGTTTACACCCAGAAGTCTTGATACTACTTGAAATAGGCTACAAAGAGCAGGGATGCAAACTACCTAACTGCAAAACATCAAATTAGGATAACATTCAGAACCCCCCACCTCCATATTTTTATTAGATCTAAAATCTAGATCAACAGGGCAAGCCCCCCCGAACCCCCCCGAACGTCAACATGACCTTTGCGCATGCGTTAAGCGCTCTCAGTGAAGTGTCATTATAGCTCTAGGTCAGTGGCCAGAGAATAAAGATGGTTGATGTCGACAATGCTAAAGCCTTGCACGCCTAATCGACATGCGACTACACAGGGGGCGTAAAGAGGGCAGCGATTGGTCGAAGCTTCGACCCATTAAAACATTAAGTACCGTGAGCATACTCTGGGAATTCCCGGTTTCGCTCTCACGCCTTTGACCGTCTTCTCACAGTAGGTTTGGAGCGTTCATAGAAGAAGAAAAAGAAGAAGAACTGTAAGAAGAAGCAGGAAGAGCATAGGAAGAGGAAGAGGAGGAGAACAAGAAGAATAAGTTTGGGGCCCAAACCGGCGAATAATAATTGGGGGGTGGAAACTGCCCACAAAGCGCCATTCTTTGCTTGAATTTTAATTTTCTGGCTTAAGTGCTTCCTTCCAGTCTAAGCCTAGTTCACTCCTCAACGTTTACCTGGCAATTCAGGGTCTGGTGTTAAGCTTTGACTTTGAACTTTAACGAACGAAACTACAAAATCACCAAACTTTTAACAGAGCTAGCTAGCATCGTCTTAGCCTAGAAAGTACGAACTTGGCTGTTTGTTGGACTGTCAGTGGCATTGGCCTTGCCTTACGCTTACTCACTTACTTACTGAAATCTGACACTGAATGAGACTGTATGAATGAAAAATAGGCCTATTATTTATCAATAAAATGTTAAAATTCTAATGACGGAAGGACTTCCGTAACGAGCGACCACCCCATCAAACACAATAAAGAAGAGGCCTAACCCTAAGAAGCCTACCCCTCCAACCCCACATGCCGTTAAACGTAGAAATGACGCATCTTTCTGATTGGCTGCTAATTTTAGTAATGTGATGTCATCACTTCCTGGGATACTCACATGGAACGGCGTGTTTTCGGTAACATTTCTCTAGAATCTAGATCTAGATTCTAGATTAAATCTATGGTCTAGATCTAGATCTAGATCTAGTAGGCCTACCTGGACATGATGGAAGACCGCACGAAAATTGCCGTAAAGACGCAGGAGGACTAGATATATATCTAGATCTAGATATTTAAATTTAGATCTACCACCCCCCCCCCCCCTCCTGCATTTTTAATCACTAATACATTTTTAAAAATAAACAACAACTTCAAAGCATCTCTACAAATTAGGGCTATAATTTATGGAACTGTTGGTCAGTCGGGAGGAGGAAAAAAGAAAAAAAACAACTGTCCGGGACCGGAATCGAACCGTTCCAAAAGTCATTGCTCGACATCAAACGCAGACGCGCTATCAAATCAGCTATCAGTATCAGAACTTCCGAGAGAAAGGTGTAGATTAAGCATAATATACATAGACACTTCCATCTTTGGTGCCATGCGGTTGTCTATACTTAGATGTAGTCACGTGATCGGAGGGGTATCCTGGTCTGACG